CACACTGCTTGTACAGTGTTACTTGTACCAGGAACAGCAACAACTACTTGTACAGTGTTACTTGTACCAGGAACAGCAACACAACTGCTTGTACAGTGTTACTTGTACCAGGAAGAGCAACAACTACTTGTACAGTGTTACTTGTACCAGGAACAGCAACAACTACTTGTACAGTGTTACTTGTACCAGGAACAGCAACAACTACTTGTACAGTGTTACTTGTACCAGGAACAGCAACACACTGCTTGTACAGTGTTACTTGTACCAGGAAGAGCAACAACTACTCGTACAGTGTTACTTGTACCAGGAACAGCAACACACTGCTTGTACAGTGTTACTTGTACAGGAACAGCAACACACTGCTTGTACAAATGTTACTTGTACCAAGGAACAGCAACACACTGCTTGTACAGTGTTACTTGTACCAGGAACAGCAACAACTGCTTGTACAGTGTTACTTAGACCAGGAACAGCAACAACTACTTGTACAATGTTACTTGTACCAGGAACAGCAACAACTACTCGTACAATGTTACTTGTACCAGGAACAGCAACAACTACTTGTACAGTGTTACTTGTACCAGGAACAGCAACAACTACTCGTACAGTGTTACTTGTACCAGGAACAGCAACACACTGCTTGTACAGTGTTACTTGTACCAGGAACAGCAACAACTACTTGTACAGTGTTACTTGTACCAGGAACAGCAACACACTGCTTGTACAGTGTTACTTGTACCAGGAACAGCAACACACTGCTTGTACAGTGTTACTTGTACCAGGATCAGCAACACACTGCTTGTACAGTGTTACTTGTACCAGGAACAGCAACAACTACTCGTACAATGTTACTTGTACCAGGAACAGCAACACACTGCTTGTACAGTGTTACTTGTACCAGGAACAGCAACAACTACTTGTACAGTGCTACTTGTACCAGGAACAGCAACACACTGCTTGTACAGTGTTACTTGTACCAGGAACAGCAACAACTACTTGTACAGTGTTACTTGTACCAGGAACAGCAACAACTACTTGTACAGTGTTACTTGTACCAGGAACAGCAACAACTGCTTGTACAGTGCTACTTGTACCAGGAACAGCAACAACTACTTGTACAGTGTTACTTGTACCAGGAACAGCAACACACTGCTTGTACAGTGTTACTTGTACCAGGAACAGCAACACACTGCTTGTACAGTGTTACTTGTACCAGGAACAGCAACAACTACTCATACAGTGTTACTTGTACCAGGAACAGCAACACACTGCTTGTACAGTGTTACTTGTACCAGGAACAGCAACACACTGCTTGTACAGTGTTACTTGTACCAGGAACAGCAACAACTACTCGTACAGTGTTACTTGTACCAGGAACAGCAACAACTGCTTGTGCAGTGTTACTTGTACCAGGAACAGCAACACACTGCTTGTACAGTGTTACTTGTACCAGGAACAGCAACACACTGCTTGTACAGTGTTATTTGTACCAGGAACAGCAACAACTGCTTGTACAGTGTTACTTGTACCAGGAACAGCAACAACTGCTTGTACAGTGTTACTTGTACCAGGAACAGCAACAACTACTTGTACAGTGTTACTTGTACCAGGAACAGCAACAACTACTCGTACAGTGTTACTTGTACCAGGAACAGCAACAACTGCTTGTACAGTGTTACTTGTACCAGGAACAGCAACAACTGCTTGTACAGTGTTACTTGTACCAGGAACAGCAACAACTGCTTGTGCAGTGTTACTTGTACCAGGAACAGCAACACACTGCTTGTACAGTGTTACTTGTACCAGGAACAGCAACACACTGCTTGTACAGTGTTACTTGTACCAGGAACAGCAACAACTGCTTGTACAGTGTTACTTGTACCAGGAACAGCAACACACTGCTTGTACAGTGTTACTTGTACCAGGAACAGCAACACACTGCTTGTACAGTGTTACTTGTACCAGGAACAGCAACAACTACTCGTACAGTGTTATTTGTACCAGGAACAGCAACACACTGCTTGTACAATGTTACTTGTACCAGGAACAGCAACACACTGCTTGTACAGTGTTACTTGTACCAGGAACAGCAACAACTGACTCGTACAGTGTTACTTGTACCAGGAACAGCAACCACTGCTTGTACAGTGTTACTTGTACCAGGAACAGCAACAACTACTTGTACAGTGTTACTTGTACCAGGAACAGCAACACACTGCTTGTACAGTGTTACTTGGACCAGGAACAGCAACAACTGCTTGTACAGTGTTACTTGTACCAGGAACAGCAACACACTGCTTGTACAGTGTTACTTGTACCAGGAACAGCAACAACTGCTTGTACAGTGTTACTTGTACCAGGAACAGCAACACACTGCTTGTACAGTGTTACTTGTACCAGGAACAGCAACAACTGCTTGTACAAAGTTACTTGTACCAGGAACAGCAACAACTACTTGTACAGTGTTACTTGTACCAGGAACAGCAACAACTGCTTGTACAGTGTTACTTGTACCAGGAACAGCAACACACTGCTTGTACAGTGTTACTTGTACCAGGAACAGCAACAACTACTTGTACAGTGTTACTTGTACCAGGAACAGCAACAACTCTTGTACAGTGTTACTTGTACCAGGAAACAGCAACACAACTGCTTGTACAGTGTTACTTGTACCAGGAACAGCAACAACTACTTGTACAGTGTTACTTGTACCAGGAACAGCAACAACTGCTTGTACAGTGTTACTTGTACCAGGAACAGCAACACACTGCTTGTACAGTGTTACTTGTACCAGGAACAGCAACACACTGCTTGTACAGTGTTACTTGTACCAGGAACAGCAACACACTGCTTTTACTGTGTTACTTGTACCAGGAACAGCAACACACTGCTTGTACAGTGTTACTTGTACCAGGAACAGCAACACACTGCTTTTACTGTGTTACTTGTACCAGGAACAGCAACACACTGCTTGTACAATGTTACTTGTACCAGGAACAGCAACACACTGCTTGTACAATGTTACTTGTACCAGGAACAGCAACACACTGCTTGTACAATGTTACTTGTACCAGGAACAGCAACACACTGCTTGTACAATGTTACTTGTACCAGGAACAGCAACACACTGCTTGTACAATGTTACTTGTACCAGGAACAGCAACAACTACTCGTACAGTGTTACTTGTACCAGGAACAGCAACACACTGCTTGTACAATGTTACTTGTACCAGGAACAGCAACACACTGCTTGTACAATGTTACTTGTACCAGGAACAGCAAACACACTGCTTGTACAATGTTACTTGTACCAGGAACAGCAACAACTACTTGTACAGTGTTACTTGTACCAGGAACAGCAACACACTGCTTGTACAATGTTACTTGTACCAGGAACAGCAACACACTGCTTGTACAATGTTACTTGTACCAGGAACAGCAACACACTGCTTGTACAATGTTACTTGTACCAGGAACAGCAACACACTGCTTGTACAGTGTTACTTGTACCAGGAACAGCAACACACTGCTTGTACAATGTTACTTGTACCAGGAACAGCAACACACTGCTTGTACAATGTTACTTGTACCAGGAACAGCAACAACTACTTGTACAGTGTTACTTGTACCAGGAACAGCAACACACTGCTTGTACAATGTTACTTGTACCAGGAACAGCAACACACTGCTTGTACAATGTTACTTGTACCAGGAACAGCAACACACTGCTTGTACAGTGTTACTTGTACCAGGAACAGCAACACACTGCTTGTACAATGTTACTTGTACCAGGAACAGCAACAACTACTTGTACAGTGTTACTTGTACCAGGAACAGCAACACACTGCTTGTACAATGTTACTTGTACCAGGAACAGCAACACACTGCTTGTACAGTGTTACTTGTACCAGGAACAGCAACACAGTTCTTTTCAATATAATTCTAGGTTTTTACAAACCAACTTGGTTTATAAGTAACAGTGTTGCCACACTCTGGAAGAATAGAAGATTTCTTTTGTCTTTCCTTTTTTCTCTCTTTCACTTACTCTTTCGTACTCTCTCCCTCTGTCTACCTCCCTCTACCTCACTCTGTCTACCTCCCTCTACCTCACCCTGTCTACCTCCCTCTACCTCACTCTTTCTACTTCCCTCTACCTCACTCTGTCTACCTCCCTCTACCTCACTCTGTCTACCTCCCCCTACCTCACTCTGTCTACCTCCCTCTACCTCACTCTGTCTACCTCCCTCTACCTCACTCTGTCTACCTCCCTCTACCTCACTCTGTCTACCTCCCTCTACCTCACTCTGTCTACCTCCCTCTACCTCACTCTGTCTACCTCCATCTACCTCACTCTGTCTACCTCCCTCTACCTCACTCTGTCTACCTCCCTCTACCTCACCCTGTCTACCTCCCTCTACCTCACTCTGTCTACCTCCCTCTACCTCACTCTGTCTACCTCCCTCTACCTCACTCTGTCTACCTCCCTCTACCTCACCCTGTCTACCTCCCTCTACCTCACTCTGTCTACCTCCCTCTACCTCACTCTGTCTACCTCCCTCTACCTCACTCTGTCTACCTCCCTCTACCTCACCCTGTCTACCTCCCTCTACCTCACTCTGTCTACCTCCCTCTACCTCACTCTGTCTACCTCCCTCTACCTCACCCTGTCTACCTCCCTCTGCCTCACTCTGTCTACTTCCTCTACCTCACTCTGTCTACCTCCCTCTACCTCACTCTGTCTACCTCCCTCTACCTCACTCTGTCTACCTCCCTCTACCTCACTCTGTCTACCTCCCTCTACCTCACCCTGTCTACCTCCCTCTACCTCACTCTGTCTACCTCCCTCTACCTCACTCTGTCTACCTCCCTCTACCTCACTGTCCACCTCCTTCTCCCTCCCTCCGTCTCCCTCTCTCTTTATCTTAATAATTATTATTATTATTATTATCATTATTATTATTATTATTATTATTATTATTATTATTATAATCACATTACAGGAGTGTCCGCACGGCATCGTTAGCGAAGACACCTTCAAAGGCATCTACTCCCAGTTCTTCCCACAAGGAGGTGAGTGCTCTCACCTGTGTGTACTCACCTATTTGTACTCACCTATTTGTATTCACCTATTTGTACTCACCTATTTGTACTCACCTATTTGTACTCACCTATTTGTACTCACCTATTTGTATTCACCTATTTGTACTCACCTATTTGTGGTTGCAGGGGTCGAATCGTAGCTCCTGGCCCCGCCTCTTCACTTGTCGCTTCTAGGTCCACTCTTTCCCTTTTCGATGAGCTTTATCGTATCTCTTCTTAAAGCTATGTATGGATCCTGCTTCCACTACATCACTCTCCAGATTGTCCCACTTCCTGACAACTCTGTGACTGAAGAAATACTTCCTAACATCCTAGTAACTCATCTCAGACCTCAACTTCACATCTCTGGAACATCCTGTCCCTGTCCACCTTGTCAGTTCCTCTCAGTATTTTATATGTCGTTATCATGTCCTCCCTATCCCTCCTGTTCTCCAGTGTCGTGAGGTTGAGTTCCCTAAACCTCTCCTCGTAGGACATGCCCCTCAGCTCCGGGACTAATCTTGTTGCAAAAGTTTTGCACTTTCTCTAATTTCTTGACGTGCTTGACCAGGTGTGGGTTCCATACTGGTGCTGCATACTCCAGTGTGAGTTTGACGTACACGGTGTGTGTGTGTGTGTGTGTGTGTGTGTGTGTGTGTGTGTGTGTGTGTGTGTGTATGTGTGTGTGTGTGTGTGTGTGTGTGTGTGTGTGTGTGTGTGTGTGTGTGTATGTGTGTGTGTGTGTGTGTGTGTGTGTGTGTGTGTGTGTGTGTGTGTGTGTGTGTGTGTGTGTGTGTGTGTGTGTGTGTGTGTGTGTGTGTGTGTGTGTGTTCATGTACACCTTCATAATTTCCATCTTTAACCTTCAGACGCGACCGCCTACGCTCACTACGTCTTCAACACGTTTGATACCGACCACCAAGGCTGTATCAGCTTCGAGGTCAGTCACCTTACTTCTCTAATACTGTAGTCTAGTGCAACCATTTAATGTAATCCTCCAGTATAATCTGCCAGTGTAATCCTCTAGCGTAACTCTCCAGTACAATCCTCCTGTGTAATACTCCAGTGTAATCTTCCAGTGTAATCCCCAGTGTAATCCTCCAGTGTAATCTTCCTGTGTTATACTCCAGTGTAATCCTCCAGTGTAATCTTCCAGTGTAATCCCCAGTGTAATCCTCCAGTGTAATCTTCCTGTGTAATACTCCAGTATAATCTTCCTGTATAATTCTTCACTGTAACCATCTAATGTAATCCTTCAGTGTAATCCTTTTTTAAGTAATCCTCTTTAATAAACATCCAGTGCAATTATTTTCTTGCTAACCATCTGCTCTAATCCTCTAGTGTAATCTGATGTATACAGTGTAATCCTCTAGTGTAATCTGATGTATACAGTGTAATCCTCTAGTGTAATCTGATGTATACAGTGTAATCCTCTAGTGTAATCTGATGTATACAGTGTAATCTGCTACAATAATTCTGTAATGTAATTAACTCACACGTTTATACACAATACGTCACTCATATACACTTGCATATATATATATATATATATATATTATATATATATATATATATATATATATATATATATATATATATATATATATATATATATAAATCGTCTTTTTGTGAGAGTGAAATCAAGGTATCAATGAAGGTCACTCTCTGAAGAAATTTTTATTTTTTGAGAGATGGTGGTTCGGTTGAGAGGTGGAAAGTTGATAGGAAAATGTTGATGGAGATTGTTGGTGATGGAAGGATGTAGATGGTGGGGAGGAGATGGTGGTGGATGAGGGGGGAGGGGATGGAAATTTGTTGGGGAAGTGTGATGGAGTGTTGGAGTGAAGGTGGTGTGGAGTGATGGTAAGAAGGTAGTGTGATGGAATGAAGGTGGTGTGATGGAGAATCGACCTCATTGACACGTTTCGCACATACGTTGTTAATCAAAGTATTCAGTGTATGGGAGAGACACCGTAGTTAATAAAGGCATTCCCTGTGTCTAAGAGCTAGTCACTCCAGCCTGAGAGGTGAGCGAAACAGCGTCTGTTATTGGAAGGATAATGGAGAGAGAGAGGTGAGCGAAACAGCGTTTGAAAGTATTAAGGAAATGCTTCTCCAGGCAGTGGCTTCCCAGTCCAATAAAGATCCCTGAATGTTATACATGAGTTTCATTCTTCGTGGAGAGGATCTGGTAAGAAAAACACAGCATCTCGTAAGAAAGGTTAAGACGTGATATTGTGTTTCATAAGAAGCCCTGGAAGAAGTCGAGAGTTTAAGTGTGCGATTCTCAGACGGAACCCCGGTGAAGTGTGTAGTGGCAGTCTTCATTGTAAAGTTTGATGCAGTGTAGACAAACCATACCACGGGTGGGGTTTGAACTCGCGGTCAGAGTCTCAAAAGTCCAGGCCAGCTAGCTTCAATAAGATTCGTCCAACTAGGTATATTGCTACACCATAGGAGGTTAGCATAGGCACCACTGTGTCCACAAGTGCAAGTTTTTACGGACGAATCTCCCGTTAGCATGGCCGGGACGAACTCTAGCTCAAGTCCCCTCAAAGCCGTCAACATGACTCACGAAAGACTCACTGACCGCGGGTTCAAACCCAACCCGTGGTATGGTTTGTTTGCATTCGTGTCATTACGATTTCGCGAGTCTTGATGCAGTGTGTAGTGGCAGTCTTTATTGTAAAGCTTAGTGCAAGGAAAAATAAACTAGTTTCTGGAGGAAAGTTAAATGGACTATGTAATATAAATAAGTAGAGGAATGTAAGTGTTCCTTCAGCACTTCGGCAGTTTTCCTTTGAGGTGGTGTGACCTATAGAAGAAGAGAACAGTGTGTCTACGTAATGCAAGAGAGCTAGCCACATACAAACTTGTACTAACTTTGTCTTAGCCTCCTGATAAACTACACACTAAAAAGCTTAATTAATAATGATAACAAGGCACCAGATGAACAGTATTTTCGAGATAAGTTCGCGTGTCCATTTAGTAATTCTTGAAGTCGATTACAACAATGCTGGGTCACTTACCATTTCTTCTTCTTGGCTGAATCTTATATTGACCTTTTCATTAACCAGCTCAAAAGTCCGCTATGAGTTTTTTCCTTGATTAAAACTCATTGGGAAGTTTTAATCAAGAGACTCTCGGGAACAGGTCACTGCCCCGACGTCCCACTTTGCTCGTCCACCGAGGCGTATGAGTGACCTCGCTGATTTTTGATTAGGATAAGCACGAATTTTAATAGTCGTCCATTGTTTACAGTAATGTGAGACGAGGAAGGTTGTTGTCCTCAGAAAGTCGACTGTAACTGCATCCTGACACTGAATTCTGTCCTTCCTGCTTCACACACGATAGTATGGACGTTATGTGTACTAATCCAGTGGGTCAGGAATGGCAACATCAGTGAGCTGGACACGTAGTTACTTACAGTGGATCACACCATCACTTCCCTCATGCCTCTTCTTATCATGTGGCATCGATAAAATATAGCTAGAAAGTTTAACAAAATTCTCTAAAGTTCTTTGTCCATGAATATATCCCGAATGTTGGGTGTTCATGGTACTGTGTTTGAGTTCAACAACATTAGTAATGAAGCCTCTTATATTGAGAGTGTGCTGAGGAACTAGTTAGGACAACAAAGAGGCTGCCCTCGCCAGTGGTAAGACACCGGGACATAACCTTGTAATACACAGGTTGGGTGACACGTCAGCACGTATAATACGTGTAAATCTTAAAGTCATATACTCTGTTCGGAGATTCTACCTATACATCTGGCTCTGCCCGTTCAGCTCTTTTTAAATGCAGTGGACATTACTTTGATGTCCTCTCCTCATCCACTCTCTCCTTTATATAACCGCCCCTTTCTCGTTCCCTCTCTCTCTCTCTCTCTCTCCTCTCTTATCCTCCCTCTCTTTCACTTTACCACTCAGGGCTCACATTTCGCCTCTCTTAGCTTCCCACTCCCCTCCACCACTCAAAGCTCACCTTACCTCAACTCTCCAGGATTTTGTGACCATCCTTTCGGAACTGTCGCGAGGGACGATGACAGAGAAGCTACGTTGGGCCTTCAACCTCTACGACATCAACGGTGACGGCTACATCACCAAAGAGGAGATGTTCGATATCGTTAGCGCCATCTATTCTCTGGTGGGGAGACACGCCATCCCTGCTGTCCAGGAGAACACTACCCAGGAGCACGTCGACCGCATCTTTGAGGTATGTCTGATGGCTCAACTTATTAAGTAACTCGACTGTAAACAAACCACGGAACGGGTGGGGTTTGAAACCATGGCGGGTGAGTCGTAAAACTCCAGGTCATGGATTCAAATCCCACCCATTCCACGTGTGTTTTTTTTCTTACTAGGTAATATAATGTGTGTGTGTGTGTGTGTGTGTGTGTGTGTGTGTGTGTGTGTGTGTGTGTGTGTGTGTGTGTGTGTGTGTGTTGTGTGTGTGTGTGTGTGTGTAATCTCTCAAGGAGATGATGGTTATCACTTCTGTCTCTTCTGTGTTCGATTTTCATGTGTTTTTTCCGACGAGTTGTTGTTTCTGAAGTGCATACATACCTCTTCAGTTCTGAAGGATTTTCGTACCTGTACTGTATGGCTATTTGTTTTTGATAAATGAGACACTTTGCAACATTTGGGTATCATTATTCCTGAAACATTTCGCCAGCTAGTGGTTCCTTCAGTCCACTACAGAGAACGGTGGAAGATGAGGAGTTTGAGGTAATCAGTCCCTCAGCCTGGAGTCAATATGTTTAGTCCATCAATCTTGATAAAAGTGCAGCATATATGCGGAGATGGAGCTTATATACTGCAGACAGATGATGTGAAGCAGTGGTGGGCGGAGTCACCAGTGAAAAAACCCACTAGTGTAAGCAGGTCTTGACTACAGGTATGACCTCACCTTCCACCGTTCTCTTTATTCCACTGAAAAAGTCACTGGCTGGCGAAATGTTTCCGGAATAAAGATACACACGTGCCTCATTTACCAACTTGTCGATTTTTTTAACTATTTATGTAAATACCATCTGCTGTTGCATAGCTTTATGCAGCTCACCAGTCTGTCTGGAAGTCCATTACCGACAGTTGTGATGAATGGTTTGAAAAACCGACAAGTTGAAGATTGAGACACTTATGCAGCATATGGGAATCTTTATTCAGGAAACGTTTCGCCACACAGTGGCTTCATCAGTCCAATACAAAGAGGAAGGCGTAAGGAGAGGAGGAGAATGAGGTAATCAGTCCCTCAACCTGGAGTCGATGTGTTCAGTCCATCAATCTACAAGACTGATGGACTGAACACATCGACTCCAGGTTGAGGGACTGATTACCTCATCTCTCCTCTCCTTACGCCATTTCCCCTTTGTATTGGACTGATGAACCACTGTGTGGCGAAACGTTTCCTGAATAAAGATTCCCATATGCTGCATAAGTGTCTCAATCTTCAAGTCCATTACCGTCGACGGTGATACACCAAGTTCTTCGTCTTTCATTTGTAACATCACTCTGACCATTTATTACCAAGCTGTTTGTGTAAACACTTGTCCAGCTACACCACCCAGTTCCTCTCCAGTTATCTCCTGTTTGGTCTCTTTGTTCTCTCTGTTGAAATTCGACCTCAGCAAAATGAAGAGTAATGAAAATAGTCGAGGGAGTAAGGTGGAGACGGGAGCACTTTATCACAGGAGGGAATAGCAACGTACAGAAACCAAGGAGATAAATCTATCTGTTAAGACCAGTACAATCTTCCCGGTGTGAACCTGTTAAAACCAGCAGAATCCCCTTTGAACCTGTTTAGACCAGCAGAATCCCCTGTGAACCTGTTGAAACCAACAGAATCCTCTGTGAACCTGTTAAAACCAACAGAACCCCCTGCGAACCTGTTGAAACCAACAGAATCATCTGTGAACCTGTTTAGACCAGCAGAATCCCCAGTGAACCTGTTAAAACCAGCAGAATCCACTGTGAACCGAATATCCTCAGCAGCAAACTGGCGAAGGTAAGACTGGCAGCCACGATGTTAAATAAGAAAGCACCAGAACAGTTTGCTAAACCACATATTCATTATCTCCTGGACCACCGGAAACCGGCGTTCCATGGAGACCACACCTTATTAAACACAAAGAAAATCAATAAGATCCAGAATTTTGGGGCAATAATTTTAGTAACGGAGCTGAAACGCATGAATGAACGAAGAGTTACCATGGGAACTTTAGGTCACAATGCAACAAGATTGGAGAAAGTAAGGAGATATGATCACAATATAAAAAATATTCATGAGATATAAAATACATGAGGTAGGTGTACAAGGAACAGAGCTGGAAATTTTTCACCCAGGTGACTGTTAGATGGTCAGAAAACCCCTTTAACAGGGCCAGATGGTCTAGAAAGCCCTCTTAACAGGGCCAGAGCAGTAGTGAGATAGTAAGCTGGACAGTGGAAGCTGCAGCAGCTCTCAGCTTCCCAGCAAGATGTGCTCGACCTCACGTAAGCTTAACTCCAGCGCCGAGCTGGAACTCGAAGCCCGTGAACTCAGCTAAGTAATGACATGTGGGTAATGCTAGTTTAAAAGTGCACAGATATGCACAACTAACCACATACACACACACACACACACACACACACACACACACACACACACACACACACACACACACACACACGAGGGGGGTGAGGGGCAAGGAGGGGAGTGTGAGAGGTAACTATGGTAACGGGTCCAGCAGACCCAGCATCCACACTGCTGCCTCACGGGACCTTCACCCTTGTCACTTGTCCTTCTCTCCCCTCTTCTCTTCCTTATCCTCCCCTCTTTCCCAGTGTCTTTTCCCTCCTCCATCTCACTTTCAGCATCACCATCATTTACACATCTTCTATTTGCATCACCATAACCCTCATAGCAGGCTCCTCACCATCTACCAACCACCATCTTCATACTCCTAAATATCATCATCACCATCAATCCCTATCATCATCATCCTCATCTTCATATCCCTCGTGTTCTCCATATCATCTTCCATTCGTATTCTCCTAATATTCATATTCCCGGCTTAAGTTTCTGTGCAATAACTTGAGAAAGCCTCTCCTGCTCGGCTTCAAACTTTTAACAGTGACGTTTCTGTTTAGAAGAAGACTGAGATTGTTATTTGATGTGCAGGTATTATAAGTCTAGAGTCTGCTTTCTCTATTAATTTCTGAAGTATCCATTAGCCCAAAGTGCTTTCTTTTGTGCTTAACAGTATTGTATTACATGTAAACTACATTTTGAATATTGCGAAAGAGATATAAAGTTGTATCGTGTTGTATCTTCCCATTTTGTTGTTACTTCTCTTGAAGTCTCCCCTCATTTCGTTCGCCATATTTAGCAAGTTCTCCTCCTGATGGTGTAAACAGCATCGGTTCCACCTTTCCATGATTGATATACTCACCTATGTCTCTGTTTATATATATGTTAATTATCTACTATAAATATATCGATGTTATTAAACACATAGGAAAAGCTGACGACTATTATTGCCTAACTTCACCCTTCACTCTCCTTTCTATCTCTTGTGTCACTAAAACTACTGACACTACTTTCTACTACTACATCGACATCATGCCTAACCCTTCTAGGGTAGGGTAGGTGCCTGAGCCCGAGCCTTTAGCTCATGAGACTGTCATTCCCATTTGCCCCCTTGGGGTGGGGATGGCAGACCAGAGAGGCCTAGCTTGAGGCTAGGCCTGGGGACAGTTGGTCCCAAAGATGAGGAGGTACTTGTGCCTCCTCCCATGGGAGACTTAGGTCTCAGACACTCCCTAAAGAGGGAGCCAAGGCCGGGCCACCACTTGGAAAGGGCCCGGGCCGGGAGAATACCGGCTAATCTTTACCTAACCTAACCTCTACTACTACTACTACTACTTATACTACTACTTCCACTACCAGCATCACCACTACCACTGCTTCTTTTTCTTCCTCTCTTGGTCCCGTCCCTTTCCCCCTCGGGTATATATACTGGCTCCCTCACTCTTGTGTGTCAGTGTGACTTTGTAAATGGTCCAAGTCGGACCGAAACATCGTCGTACGCTTCTCTCTCCTATGTGAGATTTATTTGTGCATCGTACCAGTCACAGTACTGTGCCTTTTTGTTCTCTATCACTGTTATTGTGTCCGTTGCTGGTTCCGGGGATCGCCGCCCCCTCGTTCCGGTTCTAGCTATCTGGGTATTTTCCCTGAAATACGTAAATCAGACTTAAGAACTGCCAGATTAACTTTAGGAGTGTGAGGTCAATTTTCCATATACTACCCGGCTACTGTGGCTTCCATATATATCTAGAGCCATATTTCCCATAAACTTTGAAGAAATTTACTTTTTCAAAATTCCCATCATTTAATTCAGAAATCTTAAATGTCGGACGAAATCTCGGTAGTTCGGATAATGGGGTTGAAAACCTATCTACTACGTTACGCTTATTGAGGCTGCATATTTCCACTACCAGACAAATTCTCTCTAAAATGGGAATTACATTATATTCTCAGCATATATACGGTGAGATACATATACCTCTGGGTGTATATACCCTGTAAAAGCTGGGGTAAAAATATTATGTGCTTCTTTGTGAGATAATTTAATATATTAGCATAAATGTATTATGGAATAATTTCATATTACCTAATGAATTTTGATGTAAACTTTTACCAAATGCTGCCAGATATGTTTATGTAATGAAATAAATTTTGTAGAATAGTTTATATGCCTGTCAAAGAAAGAGAGAGAGAGAGGAGAGAGAGAGAGAGAGAGAGAGAGAGAGAGAGAGAGAGAGAGAGAGAGAGAGATTTTATTGATTATATAAACAGAAAAAAAAATTCATCCTTCATTAAAGCACAAATTGAATGACCTAACAGTGACACTATTTTCCAGAAGCTGGACATCAATGGTGACGGCATGGTGACGCTGGACGAATTTATGGAAATCTGTACAACGGTACGAATACCATCCTCTAAATAATAATGATAATAATTTCTCTTTAGCCCTGTTTTCTTGTCCCTCTGTTATCTCTTCCTTTTCTCTACTCTATTTCTTCCACCCCCTCTAGCTTCTTCTTTCCTCCAGCTAACTTGTCAATGGTCTAGTTAAGACCGAAGCCTTGCTATTACTTACCTTTCTGAGTGTGGACTGTTTGTGAACTGCTGCAAGCACGGTATTATGATCTTTTGTGTGTTAACTGTAATACTGAGGTAAACAAGCCACTGTACGGGTGGGACTTGAACTCGCGGCTGGCCTGGAGTTTTACGACTCACTTTCCGTGAGTTCAGTCCTCACCCGTACCGTGATTTGTTTGCAGTCGTGTCATTACGATTTCGTGAGTCATAACACTGAGGTAACAGTGTGGACACTAAGATATATTTCTCCTCAGGACGAGAACATCGCTAACTCGCTCACCATCCTCGACACCAGTTTCTGACATGAGGCCCCCACCTCCTCCATCCTTGTGCCTGTCACCTCACAACAAGACCTTAACTGCAACATGTAGAGGCGCGTCCCGGGGGCCCCCAAAACTGGGGCGGAGGGGCCAGCTATGGCCCCTGGGGAAGGCCACGACGCTGAGGCCACACTAAGGGCCACGGGGCCAGCTGTGGCCCTTGGGGAAGGCCACCACGCTGAGGCTACACTGGGGGCCACGGGTGTCGCAGCCGTAGTCAGAAATTCAGGAGAAGGAACTGACATTCTTAATGTGGAGGTTGATATGGAAGGTGTGGGTAGTGATGGGAGGGACTGGGGTAGACCTACGGCTAGGAGGGTTCATGGGATGAGTGTGGATAGAATGGGACTGCTAGGAGGCGTAGAAAAGGTTGTAGTTACGGGACCAGAGGAGGAAGAAGAGTTCATGCTGGACCTCACAAAGGAACCCACCTTCCTGGCCGAGACACTAATATGAAAAGTGATTCCTAGAGGTGTCGAGTCGATCTGCTTAACCCAGGGGTAAGCCACTGCCCTACTTAACCCAGGGTAACTATTCTGCTTAACCCAGGGTAAGCCACTACCCTACTTAGCCCAATGTAAGCCACTACCTTGCCTAGCCCAGGGTAAGTCACTACCCTCCCTACTACCTCATACATTACCCTCATGTCTCTAGTTTGTTTACCTTTCCTCTCACACTACCATCCCTACTCCCTAACTCTTCCTTCTCTGTTCCCTCAAGTAAGGTCTTCCCCATTACCTCCTCTTCCTTCCACTCTCTTCTATCTCAAATACGATTTTTCTTATCTTCTTGACACTCGCTCCTCTCCCCTTTACACCCCTCCTATCCCTCTTACACTCCATTTAATTCCTATTTACTCATTCCTATCTCCTTTGCACTATCATTTATTTCTCACGACACTCCCGTCGATCCTTCCACACACGCCCTCTTCCCTATCACCATTCTCTTTCCCTTCCCTTCTACATTCCTCCCTTCACAATCCTTCTACTCTCCCTTCTCCATAAGGCCATCCATCTATCCACCCTATCCTTCCACGAGAAAACGCGATTTGAGTGTATCCTAATTGTGGTTGCCGGGGGATGGGAGGGGTTCGATTCACGGTTCCTGGCCCCCGAGCCAGTGTATCTTAAACGTTTTTTATAAACCAGGTGCGCTAAACCCGTTCGGGCTCAGCGCTTTTTTTTATTACATTAATAATGTACAGCAGAGGAAGGCCCATTTGTTGTCATAGTGAGGTAGATAGCCAACCAAGCTGGCGCCATAGTGACTCAGGTGCCTGAACAAGCTGGCGCCATAGTGACTCATGTGACTGAACAAGTTGACGCCATAGAGACTCAGGTGACTGAACAAGCTGGCGCCATAGTGACGTAGATAACTACCCAAGCTGGCGCCGTAGTGACATAGAGAACTACCCAAGCTGGCGCCATAGTGACGTAGATGACTGTCCAAGCTGGCGCCATAGTAACGTAGATAACTATCCAAGCTGGCGCCATAGTGACGTAGATAACTATCCAAGCTGGCGTCATAGTGACGTAGAGAACTACCCAAGCTGGCGCCATAGTAACATAGAGAACTACCCAAGCTGGCGCCATAGTGACGTAGATGACTGTCCAAGCTGCCACCATAGTGACGTAGATGACTACCCAAACTGGCGCCATAGTGACCCAGGTGACTACCCAATCTGGCGCCATAGTGACCCAGGTGACTACCCAAGCTGGCGCCATAGTGACCCAGGTGACTACCCAAGCTGGCGCCATAGTGACCCAGGTGACTACCCAAGCTGGCGCCATAGTGACCCAGGTGACTACCCAAGCTGGCGCCACAGTGACCCAGGTGACTACCCAAGCTGGCGCCACAGTGACCCAGGTGACTACCCAAGCTGGCGCCATAGTGACCCAGGTGACTACCCAAGCTGGCGCCACAGTGACCCAGGTGACCACCCAAGCTGGCGCCACAGTGACCCAGGTGGTTGTCTTACAGCTGTGGTAACTTCCTTTAAGTGCTTTTGTCAAATAAATAACCTAATATATCTCATTCAGATATCAAATAAATTTTGGGAGTATTTTTGAAGAGAATGATGTGATTTTGGGATATACATACATGCAGTATACGTATGTATAAGTTCATATACGTTTGTTTTTAAGTATGTATAAGTGATGTGAAGTGGTAAGCCTCCACTCTCTCCTACACTCTCTGTATAGTCTCTTGTGTTCTTGACTTGTGACGCTGCTATCTTAAGAGGCGCCTGAGTTCCCCTATCTCCTAATATCAGGGTCGTTTTTCCCCTAAAATCTACATTCTCCATAATTACTATCGCATTTCCATTGTTTTCGTAAGGTGAAGTCCAGGATCTTTCCTTAATTCATGGAATGACTTAACAAATCTTTGAGGATAATTGTGTTACAGAGGTCTGAGCTCAACAACACAATTGTCCTCAAAGATTTGTTAAGTTATACATGAATTAAGGAAAGATCCTGGACTTCACCTTACGAAATAGACAAAGCAAAGTGATAGTAATTATGGAGAATGTAGATTTTAGGGGGGAAAACATGTTATTAGAAAACAGGGGAACTGACGTACGTGCCCCTTAAACTGTTGATGTTTTCGTGAAAGTTCAGAAAAACATGTGAGCAATCACTAGGTTATATTTGTTAGAAGACGTTTCGGTCCTGGGACCTTGATCATTTCTAATATACGGAGGTTAAAAAGGTGGAGAGTGATGTGTGAGTGACACATGGTGACCCGAAGAATGATATATTGGGATGGGGACAGGTAGACAGTGTGACTCCTGTGTTGTTAAATAGGTGGTGCCTTGCTATGTGTCACTAACACCTCTGCTTAAATATACATAACCTAGTGTTTCCTCATGTGCCTTTCTAAGCCAATTTGTCGGTAACTATTACCAAGGTTTATACATGAAAGTTAGTTGATCTTCTTTGGTTTATTAGCCTGGGAAGGTTAAACAATATCAGGGTGGCCCAAGAAAGTCGGACTGTGTGGGTCGTTTCTGTTGGGTTGGCGGAGCTTTCCTTTGTCGGGAAACAAGACAAGTTGTTTTCTGACACCGATCTCTGTCACGTCACGACTTGTAGAGTGAAGTATCCGCTGATCTACCACACCTGAGTTTTATTTCCCGTTTAATGAACAGAGGATCACTACCCAGCAGTGATCCTCTGTTGTAGAGGATCACTACCCAGCCGCGATCCTCTGTTGTAGAGGATCACTACCCAGCAGTGAATCCTAAGATCTTTGTTTTCTTTTCTTTTTTTTGGGGGGGGGGGGGTTCAATCCTCTTCCCCAGGAAGCGGTTCACAGGAACCCACAAACACTTACCTGCTGTTAGGTGAATTAGGGACAGCAGGTGTAAGGAGACTGGAGCATACGTCTCGGCTAACCCTGAGGTCGAACCTGGCTTCATTTTGTGAGCTGAATAATCTCCCACTGAGCTTTGGTACTTTGCTTGCTGGCTGACTGTCAGCTGTGCTAGGTACAGCTCCCGGCCCGGGCTGACAAGAGTATTATTATTAAGTGATCCTCACCAAGGCTTCAGTGAGGCCGCTGTTTTCAGTTCAGTGAGTAATTTTTTATACAAGTTAGTGATTGTAGCCCCCTCAGTGAGTGTGACTGTAGCCGCCCCTCAATGATTGTAGCTTCCCTTCAGTATGATTGTAGCCCTTTCAGTGAATGTGACTGTAATCCTTCAACGAGCGTAACTGCAGCCTGTCAGTGAGTGATGATTGTTGCCTCTTCAAGGAGTGTTGAGTTATCCTCGCCGTGGTTTCAGTGAGACTGGTATCTTGTGAGCACTATGATGGTTGGTGGAAGTTCGTGACGCCACACTGCCTTCACTGACGTCGTCCGGCAGTTGTTTATTATAAGAATATCCATGGCATCAACTTGGGCATCAGCTGCAAACTTAATGCTGGAGAGGCATCGTGCCCTCCTGCTCTCTCTCCAGGCAAGAAAGTGAGTGCTTCAAGGTAGTGTGTGTGTGTGTGTGTGTAGATAGTATATGATTCAAGTACGGGTCATTTTGTTTGCCAATTACGTATAGTTATACATGTTAGCGAGTGTATTTTGTGGGCGAGTTAATAGTGCATCCTGTGTATGTTGCTAGGTTAACAAGTGTATCTTACTGTGCGTTGACATGATCATGAGGGTATCTTAGTGTTTGTGTGTGAGTCTGTCTTCGTTAGTGTAGAGTAACAAGCGTATTTTTGATGTGGGTTAATAAAGTGAGGGTATTCAGGAGTGGGATGATAAAGTAGGATATTCTGGAGTGGGTTGTAACTGGGGTATTCAGGAGTGGGATGATGAACTAGAGTATTCTGGAGTAGGTTGTAACTGGGGTATTCTGGAGTGGGATGATAAACGGGTATTGTGGAATACGTTGATAAACTAGGGTATCTCAGAATGGATTAACAAGTTGGGGCATTTAATGTGAGTCTATAAACCAAGGTATCTTCCTGTGGGAGGACAAACTAGGGTATATAGTCGTGAGCGTGGATGACCAGGAATATCTCACTAGCATGAGTGTGAGAAGCGATCTCTTGGTCTATACAGACGAAACCATGTGATATACAATGGCAACCGACGCATGATCCTCCTGTTCTCTCCCGGTCAATGCTTGCTATCTGAGGGGTCAGTCAATGGGCATTTCCGTACGCATCAGCCAGGCAGATTTCGTCTCAAGCGGAACCATGTCCAAGCCTCGCTGTTCACTTAATCTTTCACGACTCTTAACACGTGAACTGTGGCCGATTTTCATTCCAATTACGAAAACAATGAACACGTCCAAAAACAAAACATAGGAAGAGTAATGTATTTTAATATGTATTTGCTAGATGTGTGTGTTTAGCATACGTTGCTATAAAGTGGATTCTAAGTCCCATAGCTATTTTAATGGCTGTAGCTGTTGTTGTTGTTCTTGTTGTTGTTGATCTCGTCCCTCGACATAAAGACTGGGAAATATTACTCTGTAGTTACTGTGTACCTAAATTTACCCCGTCAGCCTAGCTGCCTGACAGTCCAAGCAGTGTACTAGTCATGTCCCCCCATTAAAACAAGGTGACCATATGGGTTTCATCAAAAACCGATATTAAAAATGTTCTTCTTTAGATTGTAGTATATGGTCCTTATTTTGTGTTGTGTGGGGAGTGTGTGACAGAATTTGTAACTGAGTTGTGTGAGTGACTGTAGTAATGTGCGTGTGTGTGTGTGTGTGTGTGAGTGTTCTCTTGTGGATACATATATGTGTGTGTTTTGTACAGGAGAAGTAATGTATTATGACCAATGATATTATGTCATATGTATTACGTATGACCAGTGATATACACCATATGTATTATGACCAATGATATTACGCCATGTGTATTATGTATGATCAGTGACATCTCGTCACCTATTATGTAAGACCAATGACATCGTGTCGTATGTATTATGTATGACCAGTTACATATGACACATGCATTATCTATGACCAGTGACAATATACCACATGTATTGTAATGTTAAGTAACATTATGCCATATTAAAGTGAAGAAAATCTTGAGTTTTTCTTCCTTATTCACCTGAGATTAAAGATGACACAGCAGAATGTACCTAAGTGCATCTTACTCCCAGAGTAAGATGTCTCACTCCCAGAGTAAGATGCCTCACTCCCAGAGTAAGATGTCTCACTCCCAGAGTAAGATGCCTCACTCCCAGAGTAAGATGCCTCACTCCCAGAGTAAGATGCCTCACTCCCAGAGTAAGATGCCTCACTCCCAGAGTAAGATGCCTCACGCCCAGAGTAAGATGCCTCACTCCCAGAGTAAGATGCCTCACTCCCAGAGTAAGATGCCTCACTCCCAGAGTAAGATGCCTCACTCCCAGAGTAAGATGCCTCACTCCCAGAGTAAGATGCCTCACTCCCAGAGTAAGATGTCTCACTCCCAGAGTAAGATGCCTCACTCCCAGAGTAAGATGCCTCACTCCCAGAGTAAGATGCCTCACTCCCAGAGTACGATGCCTCACTCCCAGAGTAAGATGTCTCACTCCAAGAGTAAGATGACTCACTCCCAGAGTAAGACGCCTCACTCCCAGAGAAAGATGCGTCATTGATGTCAGCTAGGACTGTATACCATATACTTGTAGTAAATAAAGATATTATTACAATATATTATGTAAGAAACTTGAAGCTATCGGCATAGGTTCCGTAGACTGGTTTAAGTCCTACCTTAGCAACAGCAGACAAATTGTCAAAATCGACAAAACAGAATCCGAACCCCTGCCGATAACATGTGGAGTTCCCCAAGGTAGTATTCTGGGTCCCTTATTATTCCTATGTTATGTAGACAATATGCCCATCAGTGTCAAGTGGCACGAAACATAAACTAAGGATAAATCATTTTAATGTCCGGTGTAATAAGTAAGTTTATTCAGGTATACACAAGTACAGTTACATAGATTATCATACATGGTAGCATATATGTAGAGAACCTAGGATAACTCAAAAAAGTCAGACTTATTCCCATTGGGGTCCTTTTCATACCTTATTATACTATGGAGATAATATCATACTATAAAGGAGATATACTAGGAATAATGTAAAATGAGTTATTTGCATTTGCATGGGGAGCCCATCACTTCAGTTTCCTCAGTAAAGTATCTGGGAATTCCCTTTGACCCATGCACGTCAGGAAATTTGATAAGGAACAATGTAGTAAAGAAAGCGCATGCCAGACTGAAGTTCCTCTATAGACAAGCACAATGTCTACCTACTGAGACTCGCAGGACCCTATGTCTACCTCTTATACAATGTCATGTGGACTACTCTTACACTTCATGTTTGTGTGTAGTGGCTGGTTCTTCCTCTAAGTCAGTCGCTTAGAGAACAATAGATTGGTTCAAGACGCAGTCTCACCAACTTTGCGAGAAGTCTGTTGATTCCAAGTGGATTCTGGAAAATGAAAAGCACCTTGAAATTAAGGAACTGGGTTATGGAGGGTGTGGTAAGACCCAGCTCTGGAATCTTCCAGGATATGACGGACCAGTGGTCCTCAAAAACATCTTTAAATCTAATACCCGAGAAACGGATTGTCTGCGCGAGGCCCAGACCTTGAGAAACTCAATGGTGCAGGTGGAGCTCCAAGACTTCTGGGTTTGTCTCCTGAGATAGGATGTTACTTTGTCTTTCTTGGGGTTGGAGGATCTCGAACCTCTCGGCCACAACCAGGAGACAGGTGGGGAAAAATTAGATGATTTGTTTTGGCTAAAAGCCATTGAAAGCATCATCAAGAACTTGACTAACATCCACCAGAAAGTAATTGTCCATCTGGACCTTAAACAGAACAATGTGATAGTGGGCAGAACCAACCCAAAATATCCAAAAATTTCTATAATTGATTTCAGACTTTCAACCTGCCCAGGCCAGCCTTGGGTTTATGGCGACTAAACTACAAGTTTTTGTAGTTTAGCCCCTGGACCTGCTACGAAGCTGCTATAGGTCAGCCTGTTACAATGATGTGGTTGGAGTCGCCCTGCTCATCAAACAGGCTATTGGAATAATGGAGTGTCAGCCCCACCTGATGATGACCCTGGCCCTTGAAGAGCCTCAGCCAGGACCCAAAGGAGAGACCTGACCTCCGAGCAATGCAAAAAATCACTAAGCTCTTCACTGCCAAATTTTTTGAGCTCCTTGGCTATGGCTTCTTACAAAAAGGAAAAAAGAAAAAATATACAAAAAGGATTTCTTTTTTTTTATTTATTTGTTATATCCTTAAAAAAAAGGAACTTGAAGAGCAACTGCCTCCACATGGTAAGTTCTGGGTACCTTGTGTGACTGTGAGGACTTGGGCATTCATGTGTGACTGTCACTACATGACCAGTCATGCGAGTGTGGAGTAGATCAGTTACACAAAATAGCTGAGAGCTGCTCGCACTCTATATTGTCTGGATCTGGGGAATATGTTGTTTAGATAGACAACGTATTATCTATTTCTGGACAATGTGTTGTCTAGAAATAGATACATTGTATTCCTTGTTCCTCTTTCTTTTTGACCCAATACGGGAGGTTCCTTGCTGCTGACCTGTATTCTAATTCATTGATCAAAGTCTGAATGGTTTCCATGCCCCAGGAGCTTTGATCTCCACGAGGCTGTGTAATCCTACAGATTTAGCGCTCAACCATGATTATAATATAATTATGATCTCTACGAGTTTTGCACTCCCCTCATGAATAATAATAAATAACTAAATACGCTAAGGCACACTACATATGCATGTACAGGCATATGTATACATATGTACCGTACATAGCTTTAAGAAGATGTATGATAAGTAGACCTAGTGGCGACCAGTGAAGAGGCTGGGCCAGGAGCTGTGACTCGACTGCTTCAACCACAATTAGGTGAGTACCTCTATAATTGATTTCTGACTTTCAGCCCGCCCAGGCCAGCCTTGGGCTTGTGGTGACTACGAAAAGAACTGTTTCAGCATATTTTTGTAGTTTAGCCCCTGGACCTGCTATGAAGCTGCTATGGGTCAGCCTGTTACAACGAAAAGTGTTGTGGTGGGAGTCACCCTGCTCGTCAAACAGGTTATTGGAATGGTAGGTAAGACACATAGGCAACAGTTAGGCAACTATATTCCGAAACGTTTTGCCTACACAGTAGGCTTCTTCAGTCGAATACAGAAAGTAGGCAGGAACAGTAGAGATGTGAAGACGATGTAATCAGTCCATCACCCTCGAAGTCGTAGAATTTGAGGTTGTCAATCCCTCAGCCTGGAGAAGTTCAGTTCCATAGTCAGGAACTATCTGAAGATCAAGCGACAGTGCGGAGACTTAAATACTGTCGGAAGGAGAGGTGCCGAGTAGTAGTAGTAGTGAGAATGTAGCCACTGAGAGGTCATGTCCCTCTCAGATCCAACAAATCTCACTTGAAAAGGTTGTCCAAGGTGTTTTCTGTACCAAGATGCCATGTGTTGCAGTGTCTGACAAGATGAACATCAAAATGGTATACAATACCGACAGGTTGGTAGGTAAGACACATAGGCAACAGTTAGTGACCTCTCAGTGGCTACATTCTCACTACTACTACTACTCTGCACCTCTCCTTCCGACAGTATTTAAGTCTCCGCACTGTCGCTTGATCTTCAGATAGTTCATGACTATGGAACTGAACTTCTCCAAGCTGAGGGACTGACAACCTCAAATTCTACGACTTCAAGGGTGATGGACTGATTACATCGTCTTCACATCTCTACTGTTCCTGCCTACTTTCTGTATTCAACTGAAGAAGCCTACTGTGTAGGCGAAACGTTTCAGAATAAAGTTGCCTAACTGTTGCCTATGTGTCTTACCTACCAACCTGTCGGTATTGTATATCATTTTGATGTTCAGGTTATTGGAATAATGGAGCGTCAGCCCCACCAGTTGATGACCCTGGCCCTGAAGGGCCTCAGCCAGGACCCACAGGAGAGACCTAACCAGAAGAAGTACCTCCGAACAATACAAAAAATCATTAAGCTCTTCACTGCCAAATTTGGTTGAGCTCCATGGCTACGGCTTCTTACGAAAAGGAAAAGGAAAAATAATTATATATATATGTGAACAGTATTTAGATAAAGGTAGGGAAGTTTTTATTGCATTTATGGATTTAGAAAAGGCATATGATAGAGTGGATAGGGGAGCAATGTGGCAGATGTTGCAAGTATATGGAATAGGTGGTAAGTTACTAAATGCTGTAAAGAGCTTTTATGAGGATAGTGAGGCTCAGGTTAGGGTGTGTAGAAGAGAGGGAGAATACTTCCCAGTAAAAGTAGGTCTTAGACAGGGATGTGTAATGTCACCATGGTTGTTTAATATATTTATAGATGGGGTTGTAAAAGAAGTAAATGCTAGGGTGTTCGGGAGAGGGGTGGGATTAAATTATGGGGAATCAAATTCAAAATGGGAATTAACACAGTTAGAGCTAAAGAAGGAGTAGCAATAATGTTGAAGGATAAGCTATGGCAGGAAAAGAGGGACTATAAATGTATTAATTCAAGGATTATGTGGAGTAAAATAAAGATTGGATGTGAAAAGTGGGTTATAATAAGCATGTATGCACCTGGAGAAGAGAGAAGTGTAGAGGAGAGAGAGAGATTTTGGGAAATGTTGAGTGAATGCGTGGGGAGTTTTGAATCAAGTGTGAGAGTAATGGTGGTTGGGGATTTCAAAGCTAAAGTGGGTAAAAATGTTATGGAGGGAGTAGTAGGTAAATTTGGGGTGCCAGGGGTAAATGTAAATGGGGAGCCTTTAATTGAGCTATGTGTAGAAAGAGATTTGGTAATAAGTAATACATATTTTATGAAAAAGAGGATAAATAAATATACAAGGTATGATGTAGCACGTAATGAAAGTAGTTTATTAGATTATGTATTGGTGGATAAAAGGTTGATGGGTAGGTTCCAGGATGTACATGTTTATAGAGGGGCAACTGATATATCGGATCATTATTTAGTTGTAGCTACAGTTAGAGTAAGAGGTAGATGGGAAAAGAGGAAGGTGGCAACAACAAGTAAGAGGGAGGTGAAAGTGTATAAACTAAGGGAGGAGGAAGTTCGGGCGAGATATAAGCAACTATTGGCAGAAAGGTGGGCTAGTGCAAAGATGAGTAGTGGGGGGGTTGAAGAGGGTTGGAATAGTTTTAAAAATGCAGTATTAGAATGTGGGGCAGAAGTTTGTGGTTATAGGAGGGTGGGGGCAGGAGGAAAGAGGAGTGATTGGTAGAATGATGAAGTAAAGGGTGTGATAAAAGAGAAAAAGGTAGCTTATGAGAGGTTTTTACAAAGCAGAAGTGTTATAAAAAGAGCAGAGTATATGGAGAGTAAAAGAAAGGTAAAGAGAGTGGTGAGAGAGTGCAAAAGGAGAGCAGATGATAGAGTGGGAGAGGCACTGTCAAGAAATTTTAATGAAAATAAGAAAAAATTTTGGAGTGAGTTAAACAAGTTAAGAAAGCCTAGGGAAAGTATGGATTTGTCAGTTAAAAATAGAGTAGGGGAGTTAGTAGATGGGGAGATGGAGGTATTAGGTAGATGGCGAGAATATTTTGAGGAACTTTTAAATGTTAAGGAAGAAACAGAGGCAGTAATTTCATGCACTGGTCAGGGAGGTATACCATCTTTTAGGAGTGAAGAAGAGCAGAATGTAAGTGTGGGGGAGGTACGTGAGGCATTACGTAAAATGAAAGGGGGTAAAGCAGCTGGAACTGATGGGATCATGACAGAAATGTTAAAAGCAGGGGGGGGATATAGTGTTGGAGTGGTTGGTACTTTTGTTTAATAAATGTATGAAAGAGGGGAAGGTACCTAGGGATTGGCAGAGAGCATGTATAGTCCCTTTATATAAAGGGAAAGGGGACAAGAGACTGTAAAAATTATAGAGGAATAAGTTTACTGAGTATACCAGGAAAAGTGTACGGTAGGGTTATAATTGAAAGAATTAGAGTTAAGACAGAATGTAGGATTGCGGATGAGCAAGGAGGTTTCAGAGTGGTTAGGGAATGTGTAGATCAAGTATTTACATTGAAGCATATATGTGAACAGTATTTAGATAAAGGTAGGGAAGTTTTTATTGCATTTATGGATTTAGAAAAGGCATATGATAGAGTGGATAGAGGAGCAATGTGGCAGATGTTGCAAGTATATGGAACAGGTGGTAAGTTATTAAATGCTGTAAAGAGTTTTTATGAGGATAGTGAGGCTCAGGTTAGGGTGTGTAGAAGAAAGGGAGACTACTTCCCGGTAAAAGTAGGTCTTAGACTGGGATGTGTAATGTTAATCATAGAATTGATGAGGGAAAAAAGGTGAGTGGTGCGTTGAGGTATATGTGGAGTCAAAAAACGTTATCTATGGAGGCAAAGAAGGGAATGTATGAAAGTATAGTAGTACCAACACTCTTATATGGGTGTGAAGCTTGGGTGGTAAATGCAGCAGCGAGCAGACGGTTGGAGGCAGTGGAGATGTCCTGTTTAAGGGCAATGTGTGGTGTAAATATTATGCAGAAAATTCGGAGTGTGGAAATTAGGAAAAGGTGTGGAGTTAATAAAAGTATTAGTCAGAGGGCAGAAGAGGGGTTGTTGAGGTGGTTTGGTCATTTAGAGAGGATGGATCAAAGTAGAATGACATGGAAAGCATATAAATCTATAGGGGAAGGAAGGAGGGGTAGGGGTCGTCCTCGAAAGGGTTGGAGAGAGGGGGTAAAGGAGGTTTTGTGGGCAAGGGGCTTGGACTTCCAGCAAGCGTGCGTGAGCGTGTTAGATAGGAGTGAATGGAGACGAATGGTACTTGGGACCTGACGATCTGTTGGAGTGTGAGCAGGGAAATATTTAGTGAAGGGATTCAGGGAAACCGGTTATTTTCATATAGTCGGACTTGAGTCCTGGAAATGGGAAGTACAATGCCTGCACTTTAAAGGAGGGGTTTGGGATATTGGCAGTTTGGAGGGATATGTCGTGTATCTTTATATGTGTATGCTTCTAAACTGTTGTATTCTGAGCACCTCTGCAAAAACAGTGATAATGTGCGAGTGTGGTGAAAGTTGTGATGAATGGTTTGAAAAACCGACAAGTTGAAGATTGAGACACTTATGCAGCATATGGGTATCTTTATTCAGGAAACGTTTCGCCACACAGTGGCTTCATCAGTCCAATACAAAGAGGAAGGCGTAAGGAGAGGAGTAGAATGAGGTAATCAGTCCCTCAGCCTGGAGTCGATGTGTTCAGTCCATCAATCTTGTAGAATGTACAGCATAGGGCCGTAGACGTGGCTTATATACTGTAGTGAGGTGAGGTGAAGCAGGCGGAGGCGGGGTCATAGTGGTACCATCCACTAGTCGAAGTAGGTCTTCGTCCAAAGGTTGAACAAGTGTTGAAGAATTCTTTGTAACAACATCCCATGATGCTGCAGTGTCTGACAGTTGTGATGAATGGTTTGAAAAACCGACAAGTTGAAGATTGAGACACTTATGCAGCATATGGGTATCTTTATTCAGGAAACGTTTCGCCACACCTCACTACAGTATATAAGCCACGTCTACGGCCCTATGCTGTACATTCTACAAGATTGATGGACTGAACACATCGACTCCAGGTTGAGGGACTGATTACCTCATTCTCCTCCTCTCCTTACGCCTTCCTCTTTGTATTGCACTGATGAAGCCACTGTGTGGCGAAACGTTTCCTGAATAAAGATACCCATATGCTGCATAAGTGTCTCAATCTTCAACACTACACAGTGTTTATTAATGATTTTGTTGATGTGTAGTGATGGTGTTCTTGATGTGTAGTGATGGTGTTCTTGATGTGTAGTGATGGTGTTCTTGATGTGTAGTGATGGTGTTCTTGATGTGTAGTGATGGTGTTCTTGATGTGTAGTGATGGTGTTCTTGATGTGTAGTGATGGTGTTCTTGATGTGTAATGAAGGTGGTGTTTTTGTGTACAGATTTTGTGTACAGATATTAAGTGATGTGTAGTGATGTGTGATGATATTGTAGTGATGTTGAAGTGTAGTGATGTGTATTGATGTTCATTTGTAGTGATGTGAAGTCATGTGTAGTGTTGTGTAGTGATTCTGTGTAGTGATTATGTTGTGTATTGAAGAAGTGTAATGATTGTCTTTTGTAGTGATGTTCATGTTTATTGATGTGAAGTTGGGTATTGATATTATGTCGTGATGCATATTGACAATAATGTATAATGATATTTTGTGATGCTGATCTGTAGTGATTGTAGTAATGTGTAATGATCATGTATAGTGATGCTGTGTAGTAATTTTGTTATATAGTGGTGTTGTGTATTGATGCCGGGTAGTAATGTGTAGTGATACTGATACATGTATGTAGTGATGTTGATGTGTTGTGTTGTGTATTGATGCTGTGTAATAATGTGATATGAAATGATGATATGTAGTGATGATGTATAGTGATAATTTGTAGTGATAATGTTGTATAATGATGTTCATGTATAGTGAGTGGTTGAGAATAGTTGCATGTGTGGGGCAGTGATCTTTTTGGCAATGAATGAAATGTGGTGTAATTTAAAGTCAGGACGTGCCTGCCAAGTGCCATGTCCATGGGCTTAAGTGGTTCTGTGGTGACAGAAGTAAAGTGAAGAGAGGTCTTGTGGCACTGTATGTCTGAGAAAACTTGAACTGCTGTATAAAAAGCACTCAAGAACTAGTCTAATTTCTTACACCTAAATTTTACAGGTTTTTAACTGCTGTATACACTAGGATACACTATGCATAAAGACACTAATATTTCATTTTAAAGAGAGTCATCCTGTTTACAAGCTGAAGAAAATTGGATTCTATACAGGTGCATATATATATTTTTCAGTGAATATCAGCAACATTTTTATTCATTAAGGTGACAATTGGAACATGATATTATCACTGCTAATGTATATACATATTATTTTATAGTACTTGCTTTTGTTTTGTTTTCAAACTGTTAATCATCAATTTAACAGACCTCAATTTAGTGGACTGTGGAAAGATGGACAAAATCTACTGGGTTAGCTGATACAAATGCAATGGATAAAATTCTGCTTTGTTGAGCTGATTTAGAAACAATGGGCAAAATCTGCTGGTCAGTGGATTTGAAAGTAATGAACAAAAGTCCACCGGTCAGCTGATTCAGAAACAATGGACAAAGTCCAGTGGTCACCCAATTTGAAAGCAACAGACAAAATCCATTACAGAACTGTCCATTACTGTTAGGATCATGGTAAAACAATCTCATTTCTATCCACCATAACTGTCATCACCAGTTAACCCTATTAGTCTATACAGTACTGCTAATTTGAATACGAGTGGTTTGATATACTACTGAACATTCTCAAAGTCTACTCTTCACATATTAATTTACACTTTGTGAAAGCAGTGACAGATAGTAAATTAGCATTTTTATTATCAATAAGCCATACATACAGATTTGACAAGTCATTATTAACATCACTTGGCTTCCAGCAATAAAAGAACTACTGGATTAAGCCAACCCAGTGACAGTAAAATACAGAGGAATAGAATAAAGGGGCTTGTGGAAAACCACCTTGTCCCAACAGCATACCTAGAAAATTAATATACTGAATATAGATATTCTTTCTTTCAACACACCGGCCGTATCCCACCAAGGCAGGGTGGCCCAAAAGGAAAAACGAAAGTTTCTCCTTTTACATTTAGTAATATATACAGGAGAAGAGGTTACTAGCCCCTTGCTTCCGGCATTTTAGTCGCCTCTTACAACACGCATGGCTTACGGAGGAAGAATTCTGTTCCACTTCCCCATGGAGGTAAGAGGAAATAAACAAGAACAAGAACTAGTAAGAAAAATGGAAGAAAACCCAGAGGGGTGTGTATATACATATATGCTTGTACATGTATGTGTAGTGTGGCCTAAGTGTAAGTAGAAGTAGCAAGACGTACCTGAAACCTTGCATGTTTATGAGACAGAAAAATGGACACCAGCAATCCTACCATCATGTAAAACAATTACAGGTTTCCGTTTTACACTCACTTGGCAGGACGGTAGTACCTCCCTGGGTGGTTGCTGTCTACCAACCTACTACCTAAGAATATAGATATTAAATATACAGAATTCTATCTCTATCTGTATACTTAATTCCTCATTGCCTCTACGAACTCATTCCTTCCTTACTGTGGTGACAAAATGCAAAATTTATTACAGACATTACAAATGTTTTCAAGCATTAAAAATTTAAAAAAAGAAACTGAAAAATCCCACCTGAGAAATAATACACCTGACTTAGTTATCACACAGGTGTGAACAAAATACAGAAAGTCCTCAAAAAGGACATAAAGGTTAATCCTTTCAGGGTCCAGAGGCCAAATTTCAAAGTGTGCACCAGGATCCAAGAATTTTCGAAAAATAATTTTGTTATTTTTTCTTATGAAATGGTAGAGAATCTCTTTCTGAAGGTAATAAAACAAAAAGTATGAAATTTGATGGAAAATTGATGAAATTATGTTCTCGTGAATTTTGATGTGTCACTGATATTTATGCATCAACGATTTTGCCGACTTTGACTCCCATTTTAGGCCAATTACAGTATTCCAGTCAACCAAATTCTTAGCTATTTCACTAGTATTACTTCTATTCTATCGATTCAGCACAAGAAATCTCCAAGTCAACTGTTTCAACAACAAAATAAAGTGACCAGAAATTGGTAATTTGGCCAATTTAATGCAAAGTTCAAAATATTCCAATTTCAAAATAGGGTCCAGAATAAACAATGCAGGCATTCCTGGCACTAAATTAACATTTCCTCTGTTCATTAGTTACGTTTTCAGGCTTTACAAATGAATTCCATTTTGATTTTTTATTCATATAATAAATTTTTATTCAAACCAAATAGAAGATTTACTGTTATGCAATACTGTAATAATTGTATAAATAATATCACCACATTTGTGAATGTATATCAGACCCACCAGCTGTCATGTATTAGACTTGTGAGATCATTTGTTTACTCTTGAACATCAGCAAAAATTTAATATTTCTGCTACTTTGAGCTCAGTTTCAAGCCATTTCTAGTACTAAAAATCAAAATCATCTCTATTTCTGTAGTATATCTTCCATTCTATCAAATGAGACCAAGAAATTGCAAATACAACTTTAAAAACATACGAAAAAACACTGCAAAATCGCTGTTTTAATCGAAAATTACGGTCTCAGTATTTTTCTATAATTATGCACTGTGTGCTGCAGGATTTGCTTTATGTGGTGCACACATACTACATAGATGTATTCTCTCATATCTAGGCCAAAATTTACTGCTCACAGCTTATCAGAGTGAGCTGAGCTCATGGCGAAGACCTACGGTTTGGACCCTGAACATAAAGACATTGATTTACGGCACGGACCCTGAAAGGGTTAAACAGTAGAAGAGAAGATATATGAAAAGACTGAAGAGTATAAAGAAAATTAAAAATAGAATATGAGAAAAACAATAAAAAATATACATTGACAAATTAATGTGGAACTGAATAAATTTAGCAGATCAGGTGGCATTGTAGTGAAAGTATAATTAAAGAAAAATCAAACACTGAAGGGGTATAGTACAGACATTGTTTTGTTCCCAATAACAGTGCTTTTTGGGGAAGTGGAAAAGAATTCTTCTTCCCTAAGCCATGCATGTCATAAGAGGCGACTAAAATACTGGGAGCGAGGGGCTAGTAACCCCTTCTCCTGTATACATTACTAAATTTAAAAAGAGAAACTTAGTTTTTCTTTTTAGGTCACCCTGTCTGGGTGGGGTACAGCTGGTTTGTTGAAGAAAAAAAATGTGCTTCTATATGAAACTAAAGCTGCTAGCTTGCTACCTCAGTGATACACATTCTTGTGAGATTTAACACAAACTTCTACTTTATTTAACTGATATAGTGGAAGAACAGTTAACAGAGAAAGAGTGATACTATAAGTGTGTATGTACACCGCAAAATGCACAAAACCAAACAAGCCATGTATGCTAGGTCTTCCAGGCAAGTGTGATGATAGTGTGAGGATCTACTGAGAGAACCATCTGTCCAACCCTGCTATCCACAAGCTTCACTCTTGCTACATCATGGCCTCTGTGAGGAAGAAAAAATTTAAATTACAATTTCACTTATTATATACTGCAGATAATTATCCAATGCAAAGAAACTAGAGTTTTGCATAATAAAAAATCCTTATGTTAAAATTATTACTTTTGAAGGAAAAACAAAAATACTGTAATGATTATAACATAATAGTACAAACAATAGGCATATTAGGAAAAACAATAAAACACTTTTTATGTATATTCTGCTGCCAGTCACATAAATATAGTACTTCACTGTAAAATAACTTCATCCATCCCTAACCTTGGACTGAAACTGAAGCCTCACATTCCCCAGGTACTATATGACCCCAATGGATTTAGTGCTCTCCCGTACATATCTCAATAAGTAACACTCACTGATGTATATGCAAGTCTCATTACCAAGACTGTAACAATTCACAACTAAATTACAAATTAAAAATCAAAATGGGATGATGTTCCAGTCCATCCTGAATCATTATCAAGTCAGAAGGAAGAGGAAAGAAACCCAGACAATATATCAAGTTGAAGAGACAGTCAAGCTCATGTAACAGCCTCTGAAGAAACTATGTGCCAACTACATTTCAATGTATAGCAGTGATGGACGTATTGTCTGCTGAAGAAACTCCAATTCACTGACATCTGACTTGATCTACAAAACTTTTATGTTAACTTTTGTTTCTTTTTAAGAGAATGATGCAGATGAAAGGTTTATAAATATTTTCCTTCTTCAAATTTGGCTGGCACATCACCTAGATGATACACTGCATTAACTCTAATTTTTTTTATTACTGCATCAGCTATTTCCCACCAAGGTAGGGTGACCTGAAAAAGAAGAAACACTTTCATCATCATTCACTTCATTATTGTCTTGCCAGACACATGCCGACACTACAGTTCAAAAACTGCAATATATCTTCACCCCTCCTTCAGAGTGCAGGCACAGTGCCAACCTCCAGGACTGAAGTCCAGCTAACCTTTTTCTCTGACTCCCTTCATAAATGTTACTTTGCTCACACTCCAACAGCACGTTAAGTCATAAAAGCCACTTGCCTCCACTTGCTCCTATCTAACACATTCACGCACACTTGCTGGAAGTCTAAGCCCCTTGCACACAAAGCCTCCTTTACCCCTTCCCTCCAACCTTTCCTAGGCCAACCCCTACCTTGCCTTCCTTCCACTAACATCCTAACTTGCATTAACAAATAATAAGAGATTCAGGAAAACTGGTTAGCCAAACTTGAGTCCTGGAGGTGGGAAGTACAGTGCCTGCACTCTCAAGGAGGGGGTGGGGATATTTGCTGTTTGGAGGGACATCTGAACTGTCGTATTTATGTGCCTCTGGCAAAACAGTGATAGCACGAATGATGGGTAAAGTGTTTCTTTTTCAGGTTACCCTACCTCGGTGCATTCAAGTAACTTACTTGTTCAGAAACATGAGCACCGTTACATTGTCTGGGCGCACAAATGCAGTACTACTGAGAGAAGGTGTTGCCTCTCCAGAGTACACTCTCCTTAGTGCCACACGTTGACTTCCTTCTGGCAGGAACTTTGTGAAGTGAGCCAAAGCATAGTACATGGGTTGTTTGTAGAATTCTCTACCAGGCTGAAAAATAAGTATATTTCTAAAAACTTTCACTACACAGTTATGAAGCTGAAAAGTCGCACTGACATTACAATACAGTGGACCCCCGCTTAACGATCACCTCCCAATGCGACCAATTATGTAAGTGTATTTATGTAAGTGCGTTTGTATGTGTATGTTTGGGGGTCTGAAATGGACTAATCTACTTCACAATATTCCTTATGGGAACAAATTCGGTCAGTACTGGCACCTGAACATACTTCTGGAATGAAAAAATATCGTTAACCGGGGGTCCACTGTATTACTTTGTGTAAAAGTAATGTTTTTGAAACAAGGTTATTACATCATTTTTATATACCCATAGGAGTTATACAAAATGGGGAGCTCCAATCACTTGGATCAAAACCCCCTTCACTAGACATCAAAATATCTCTTTGAAAGAAAATTTGGAAGCATTTTAACAAGAGCATTAAAGAAATACTGACAAAAAGCTTATATACCTATTATTGTATACAACATATAGATATACTGCAATTAATTTTGTATTTAAGCCTATTATATGTATATGAATTTGGTAAACAAATTAATTTTAAGTGAGCTTTCCTAATTTCTTTTAACATGTTGGCCGTTTCCCACCGAGGCAGGGTGACCCAAAAAGAAAAACAGGAGAAAAACTTTCGTCATCGTTCAACACTTTCACCATCATTCATACATAATCATTGTCTTTGCAAGAGCGCTCAGAATTTATTTTTATACATACTATATAACAATTTCGTAAACAAGGTCACATGTACAGTGAAACCCCAGGTTTCGGTCACCCTGGGTATCAGCCGCTTCGGGTTTCACCCGCTTTTTTCAGCCAAATTTTGTCCTGCGTTTTGGCCGTTGCCCCAGGTTTCAGCCAGCGTACCAGACCTGTCCGCACAGGCATCGTCAGCCAGTCTAGCATTGTTTATCCTTGAGTGAACATTACCCTGAGCTCTCAGCCAGCCAGCGTGACTGTGAAATAAGCCATATCTGCAACATGTTCAGTGACAAAACCTTGTCCCACTTCAGGGAAATCTTAGAGATGCCAGAAACAGAGCCCTCTTGACATTTATTTTGTGAGACAGGGGTCCAGTGACTCTCAAGCTGGTCCTAGTGGTCTTAAAAGACAAAGAAGGGAAGTAACCCCAGATATAAGGACTTGTTACCTAAAGACTTTACCTGGAGGTTACCTGGAGGTTATTCCGGGGATCAACGCCCCCGCGGCCCGGTCCACGACCAGGCCTCCCGATGGATCAGGGCCTGATCAACTAGGCTGTTACTGCTGGCCGCACGCAGTCCAACGTACGAGCCACAGCCCGGCTGATCCGGCACTGACTTTAGGTATCTGTCCAGCTCTCTCTTGAAGGCAGCCAGGGGTTTATTGGCAATTCCCCTAATGCTTGATGGGAGGCTGTTGAACAGTTTTGGGCCCCGGACACTTATGGTGTTTTCCCTTAGTGTACCAATGGCGCCCCTACTTTTTATTGGGGGCATTTTGCATCGCCTGCCCAGTCTTTTACTTTCATAGGGAGTGATTTCTGTGTAAGGGGATTTCCCTTCCTCTTTCCTCCTCCCTATTTCCCACTGACTATAAACCCAGAAATACTAATCTTAATCTTAAAATAATAAATCCTAACTAGTCATTAGTTTGCCTATGATACCCCAATATAGACACTTTGTATTGTGCCAAAACAAAAGCATTCACATTGCTAAACTCACAAATTATGATGTAGTCACTTAGCCTTAATACCATAATCTGTAAGGATTTAATGTTAAGAATTAATCTAAGTCTGCTCGAAATGCCTAGCCATGCTAGGTGCCCTAGTGGCCCCCTCTGTAATTAGTATTTTATAACATGTAAACTGCACAATACCCAAAACCTATAAACCCAACATTGTAACCCTTATAGAGAATAAACTTGAACTGAATTGAATTGAATGCCAGCAAGTCTCTTCAATAAAGGTAAGTAAATGTTATTTTAAATGTTGATTTAAATTTTAATTTATCTATATAATATATATGTATTTATCTGTGCTTGTGTATGTAAAAGTATAGTTATTTAAAAAATGTATTTTTTGTGAATATATTTGTGGGTCTGGTACGGATTAATTTTATTTACATTATTTCTTATGGGAAATACTGCTTCGCCTTTCGGCCGTTTCACAGTTAGGCCTGGCTCCTGGAATGGATTACGGCTGAAACCCAGGGTTTCACTGTACTCTATGAAGTGTACTTGTACACAAATAACCAGCACATAGGAGAATGAAACTTATGATGACGTTTTAGTCTGACATAGATCATTAACTAGTGACACACAAGCATGAAGGGAAGAGAGCCAGTATGTATACAAGAGGGGGCATGGCCAGGAAAACAGGATAAAGCCCAGCCTTGAGCAAAACATTGCACTAAATAGATCCTCTGCTACCAGCGTCTTTATTCCCACTGGTCAGCTTTTGCCATTGTCCATCACCTATAAACAGACAAGCTGCTGGAGAACTATACCTATACTAATATCCTCAATAAAAGGCTTTATCTGAAGAAAATAATAATAAAAATAAGTGCTAAACCCAAAAGGGTCCTAAAGAACATAAATATTATATACATACCCAAGATTCTAGTTAATGCAAAGAGGTATTTTTAATATACTACTGCATGTCTAGCAACAAGGTAAAAACAAAAAAATACAAATAAACAGTCATACCATTAAGCATCAGGTATGGTAAAAGAAATCCAGCACAATAAGGCAAAGAGGATGAGGTTTATATAATACAAATTGAAGTAGCAAATAAATGACGGGAAATGACCAACGTGTTGAAAATAAAAAATTTAAATAGATATACTTTTTCTATCAAGTCAGAGAAAGCATAATAATAAAAAAAAAAGACTTACAGCATTAACAATGATGGGTGAATCAACAAAGTTTTTTATCCAATTTGGTCCACCTTTTAGATCAAGTGCAAGGTTCCAGTCTGTCCAGCCTGACACCCAGTGCTCCAGACTCTGCAATGGTGAAATATTAATACACATACCTTCTGCAGGGCTAGTAAAGACCGAATCAATATATAACAAACTAATAGGGGGTAGCAAGCAGCTAGTAATAAAAAATGTGGTGGATAGAGAAGAGATCATTTGGCCATGATATAAAAAATAATGCAAATTCAGCAATCAAGATACTTTGCCTGCTGTTTCCGAGTTGACTAACCCAGCACATTTTATTCCATATTTCCATAGTCTCATTATAAAGAGCTTCATTATATCGGTGTACTTCAATTCTCATATCGACATGCAGAAATATAACTAAAAGTACAGCATTATATATTTTCTTATTGTATAATGTGAAGGTAGAGAGACAGTGTACATACATCACCATCATTTGTTACCCTCTACAATATAATTAATTTTCTTCCTTTAGAGTAGAATAGTTTTAGGGAACAATAATAACAAGAATAAAGTATAGTAAGTTATAATTAAATTTAAAAGCTAGCTCTTCTTGGTGCACCTTTTGTAGTCAGTTCACATATAAATAGTACAGTACATTTGATTTTTACATACAGAATTGTAGTATGTAATTCAGCAATATGTACTTACCTTACTATACACTGTAAGGGTTCATGTATGAGGTATTTCTATACTTCCCTCCTTGAGTTTACCTGGAGATGGTTTCGGGGGTCAACGCCCCCGCAGCTCAGTCTGAGACCAGGCCTCACGATGGATCAGGGTCTGATCAACCAGGCTGTTATTGCTGGCCGCACGCAAGTTGGCGTACGAACCACAGCTCGGTTCGTCAGGTACTGACTTTAGGTGCCTGTCCAGTGACTTCTTAAATACAGCCAGGGGTCTATTGGCAATTCCCCTTATGTATGCTGGGAGGCAGTTGAACAGTCTTGGACCCCAGACACTTATTGTGTTGTCTCTCAATGTACTCGTTGTACCCCTCTCTATAGTGTATCATGTGTATTAACACAGCTACCAGTTAGATGATTTTTAACACATTTTAATAATTTTAAGACATTATTAGCTATGGTAAATGAAAATAAATTTTGATAGGAACAGAGGTAAATTAGATTAGTAATAATAAACAAAGCAAGCAGAAACTGCTGATGCTTACAATTTCAAAAGAATCATATCAATGATATACTAAAAACACATAGTATTCTGTACCTCTATTATATCAGCAGCATACTCTTCAGCCCTCACCCAAGACCCCAGTACTACTTTCAACGGCTGCCATGGCCACTGTCCTGAAGACAAAACAAGTTATTATAACACTTAAAGTTATGTCATTCTTACCTGTCTCACACAACCTATTTTTTTTTTTTTTCAACAAACCAGCCGTATCCCACCAAGGCAGGGTGGCCCAAAAAGAAAAACAAAAGTTTCTCTTACAACCTAATTACTTACAATTATTATATGATGGGAAATATCAGCGATGATGAAGAAAAGTTTTAAATTTCTTTTCTGATGTGAGAAGAAATTAAGATTAATGTAACTGTCAAAAGGTAGTAGATCAGTAGTTTCCAGAGAAAACAATAATACCAGAGATTAAGACAGACAGGTACTGAATATAAAAAAGCATTTGCTGTATTTCACTCAGTAAATATGAAAAAAAAGATTATAAAATTTAGCTATTCACCTGTACATGCTTCAGTGTAAAGCAAGAAAAGCTCTGGGTGATGTTCATGAGTCAGGTCAAGGGTCAATGGTGGTATGAACCAGTCTGTATACCAGTGGACAGCCACACCGGAGACATATGGAGCAGCTTCGTTGTTGGACATGATCTGTAGCACAGTCATAATTTATTTACATACCATACAAATTTGTGCATATGAGAGAAAATATATAATTACTGTTAAGATTTCACTTGCTCCTCCCATCTCAAATTTAACAGAAATTCAAAGCAAGGTGCTGTTTAAAAGCTAAATTAAACCGAGTGCCTCGGTAATGTGTGTTCATGCACAGTACGATTTCTCACTCTAATTACTATGTAAAAATATATAAGAAGAATTTTATGCTTCTTCATACTGGTGACAATTATAAGTATGATACAGGTGTGCATGAGAAAGGACACCTGTGTACAGGTCAGGACATTTATTAAAAGGAATGTTTAGCCATGAGTGGCTTCTTCAGTCCTAATACAGTGGACAGTGCGAGTGACCTGAAACAAAGGTGAGGTGAGGCAGGAGGTATGTCAAGCTGCAGAAAATATGCTGGACAAATATACAAGTGAGAGGGGTTGGATTTTATCACGACATGTTTAGCGTGTGCCAGAATGCCTGCTGCATAGCTTTTCCATGCTATGCTCGCAACGTGTTCATGTGACGGCAGATCCATGCTCACAGTGTGTTCATGTGACGACAGATCCATGGAAAACAATCTTTTAGCCAAAAGTTTAGAAACACTGAAGCTTCCAGACCTTTATGGGATAGTGTCAGTCAATGGTGATTAAGGCAGCTTCCATTAACTTTCGCCTCTGTTAGTCTCTCTTGCAGATGACCAGTTATATTTTGTTAAACTTCATTAAGTGCCTACATTTACTGCTGTGTTGTAAGCAGGCACTGTTATGGTCATCCCATCTGCAGGTATTTTTGCATTTACAAAGACTAATGCTTAATGACCTAGCAGTTTCTCCCACATACTGCTTGTCACATCTACCATATGGAATATGTATAATCCTACTCTGGTCAAAGGTTCTCACTTGTGTTTTTGCATCAAGTTTTTGACTGAAGACGAAGAGTTGGTGGCTACTTTGATAGAGTAGTCGTTAAATAGTTTGGACACATTAGCTGCCACATTGCTGACTGGCAAAACAATGAATCTAGAGGGAAGGTGGGGTAGGGGTCATCCTATGAAAGGATGAAGGGAAGGGGTAAAGGAGGTTTTGTGTGGATGGGGCTTGGACATACAGCAGGCATGTGTAAGCATGTTAGATAGGACTGGAGACAAATGATTTTTTGAACTTGAGTTGTTGGTGTGCGAGCAAGGTAATATTTTGTGAAAGGATTCAGGGAAACTGTTTAGCATGACTTAAGTCCTGAAGGTGGGAAGTACAATGTCTGCACTTTAAAGGAGGGGTTTTGGATATTTTCTGTTTAGAGGGAGATCTAACCTGTCATATCTGCATGCCTCTGGCAAGACAGTGATGGTGTAAATGATGGTGAAAGTGTTTCTTATTTTTTGGGTCTACCTCAGTGGGAGACAGCCAGCATGTTTAAAAAAAATAATAAAGATAGAGCTAAAATTTCTGAAGTCATCATGTGCAACATGAAGCACAGCATGCCTGTTATCACAAAATATGTATACAAGCACTTACATCATCTGCCCACTTAGGTAGGAAGATGCGATTGTCATCCACAATCATAACTTTCAAGTGGCCAAGGTTGTTCTTATGTAGGACAGGCCCAAGGTGTTTTCCAATCCATTCTGCCTGATAATAAAAATGACAAATTAATTCTGAAGTTTATTAAAGAATTCTGTGAAAAAACACCAAATGCATTTGAAAGAAAAATATTTCATGAAGTAAAATAAAGTACACTTATGTAGCATTTCTATATGAGAAAATCTTGCATAATATACTGTTTCAAATGGCACATTCATGTGGAAAGGAAGGAAAAAACATGTTAGAATAAGGCAATTTTTTTTTTTTTTATCACACTGGCCGATTCCCACCAAGGCAGGGTGGCCCGAAAAAGAAAAACTTTCACCATCATTCACTCCATCACTGTCTTGCCAGAAGGGTGCTTTACACTACAGTTTTTAAACTGCAACATTAACACCCCTCCTTCAGAGTGCAGGCACTGTACTTCCCATCTCCAGGACTCAAGTCCGGCCTGCCGGTTTCCCTGAATCCCTTCATAAATGTTACTTTGCTCACACTCCAACAGCACGGCAATATGTTTAAAAAATTGTAGTGAACAGGGTTATTTGTATGCGGTGATAAAAGTTATGAAAAGCAAGAATAAGAATAGGAGACAGTAAAAGTCACAAAGCTTTATAGAGAGATGCAGTTAAAATAGATAGAAAAAATCAAATAATCTGAAAGATAAAAACTACATAATAAGAATATGTGAATCATAGGTATGTCAAATCTTATAAACTCAAACATCTCTTACAATAGCACTGTATATACCAAGGGATTACTTATGTTCCTGTATATATTTTTTACACAGTTATTTGTACATAAAAAAGGCAAAATAAATAATGAAAAAAAATTGCAAGTGAATACTAATATAAAAGTATTGACCATCCAGCAAAAGATGTCATTTATTTGGGAAAAATTTAAGTGTCATGCAGTGATACAGTGGTACATTCCATTATATTTATTACATATGAGGCTATGGCATTAAATATTTTACTACAGTACTTACAACACTAACGGAATAAATCTTTCAGTCAGAAATTTCTCATGTATAAACAAAATTCTAATAACGAAATCATATTTTTTGCTCTTATGTGGTAAATTCATAATTTTCAAGAAGCTTCAAAATTTAACTTTTAGGAAAGTGTTCTCATTGTGCAGAAACTCTGAATAACGATTATTGTCAAAAAAAATTAAATTTGAATTATTCTCTATTTTTCTGAAAATTCTGAATTTTCATTTTTTTTTTTCTAATTGTCAGAAAATATTCCCTTATTCAGAAAATATCAGACAAAGGATTTTAAGTAAAATTTGTTTTGTTTTTTCCAATTTTTGGAGAATATTCCAAATATACACAGTTATTTTTCCAAATGTGAGATAATTCCAAATACTTACAGTACAAGAATTTAGAGAAAACTTACTGTATGCATATATACCATAACAAAATCACAAAAGCTGTTTTGTAAAAAACACACCTGATCTTCAGGAGTCCATCCAATAGAATTAAAAGAGAAGGATTCCTCAAGACCATCACTTGGCTCATTTTGAGTAGTAAGACCCCAGAAAGTGATGTTGTTCTTTTCATAACTCTTAATAAATCTGTTGAGAAATATGTAATTTATCTTTGGATATAACATTTTCCTTCATGTAAAAACTAAACTGATGTACAAAATGCTTAAAAATCATATAAGTGCAGGTTGGCCATCACTAATCTGGCAATAAGTAATCCGGTTCCATCAGTAATCTAGCACTAATTTCGGCTAGCATAATTTCAATTTCTTGGGTTGACACACCACGCTGCTGCTACTGTTTGGTGGTGCTACTTGCTGCATAAATTATTCTAATTTCTTTTTCTCCATCTGTTATAACCTGCTCACTTTTAGCCCTAACCATGGTTCCAACGAATAAAAGAAATGTTTCTCGTTGTGTAAAGTACAAACACCATACATATGTATGGTAAATACGGTTTATTTACGTATAGTTTTTATTGTTGTATTCTCATTTTTTTTGGTCTCATTTGATAGAATGGAAGATATATTACAGAAATAGATATGATTTTGATTGGTTTCATGATGGAAAGTACCTTGAAATTGAGCTCAAATTAGCAGAAATGTTCAATTTTTGCCAATGTTCAAGAGTGGACAAATGACGTCACCGTCCAATATGTATCCAACTGGCTGGCCTAGTACACAGTCACAAATGGGATGACATTATTTATACAATTATTACAATGCGGTAGTCTGCATAACAGTAAATCTATCTTTTGTGTGAATAAAAATTCAAAGTGGAAAGCAAGCATAATATAAGAGGGGCCTGGAGATGTGACTAATGAACAGAGAAAATGTTATTTTAGTGCCAGGAATGTATGTCTGCATTGTTTATTCGAGACCCTATTTTGAAATTGGCATCTCTTGAAATTTGTGAAATTGGTCCAAATTACCAATTTTTGACTATACTTTATGGGTAGTAGAAATAAACAAATGGGCAGTTTCTTGTACCCAGTCGACAGAATAGAAGGAATACTAGCGAAATAGCTATGAGTCTGGTATACTGGAACAATGGAATGGGCCAAAAATAGGGCATAAAGTGGGTGAAATTGCTGATGCGTAAATATCGCCGTTGGGTTAAGTGTATTCTTACCTAACTACTCTGTAGTCCAGCAAAATCACTAATCCGGCACCCTAGAGGTCCTGATGATGCCGGATTAGTGATGGTCAACCTGTATAAAAATAAAAAAAATAGCTTGGTATAAAGAGTTCCAGATAAGTACACACAGTTTACCTAACATGGTAGTCTGCCCAGGTCGAGTACATTTTGTGCAGCAATTTGCCCTTGCCTGAAATCTTTCCACTATCTTTCATCCAACCTGGAGCCCCCCAAGCTGAGGCAAAAAACTTGACTGGGGTTGATGATGTCCTTATTGCTCTCTGTATCAATGGTATCTGAGGATTGTATGAAAAATATACACTCATATTTTGATATAAATTCAGAATTTATATCCAGTAATATATAATGACAAATATGTCCCTGAATTTCATTTACAAGATTTCATTTTTTATAACACAGCTGTCTCCCACTAAAGTAGTGAATCCAAGGAAAGAAACACAGTCACCATCATTTAGTCAATAGCTATCTAGCAAGAAATGTAGAGACACCACAGTTCAAACAATACAAATGAAATGAATACCTTTTTCTAATTATAATACTGTACTTGTTCTTATTTTCAGTGACAGTGTGAATGATGGTGAAAGTGTTTCATTTTCAGGTCAAACTATTGTATCTTTCTATCAAGTCAATCACTAATTAAAAAAAGTCTACAAAAATAACACAAAGCATTTTAGAAAACTGTAAATTATAAGACACTATTTACAATGAAATAATCAAATTAAAATACCTTATATTGCAAATCTTCTTTGGCAAGAGAAAAATGAGACAACTTCATATCAGTCTTGCCATCCTTTAAGTCATCATATGTGTACTCACGGATGCTAAAATCAGTTCCACCAACAGGTACACGACCCAAGGTATATTCAAGGCCATTTGCAGAATAGTAAGCTCTGTAAGTACCAGTATCATTTATACCAGACAGTGTACACTTTAATTATCTTCAACAAAAAAAAAATTCTGTGGTATATTATATTTTGAATAGGTGACTAGAGAGTACATAATTTCAGGTTTCCCTCGTTTCATGCGAGTTCGTTTTATGCAAATTCCCTATGTATTATGTGATGTCACATTCTCTATTGGTAATTCCAATAGAGAATGCAACATCACATAATATATGTACTAGTATTTACTATGTGCATTCAGTGCAGTTCTCAAAACATATCAGATTATTCTCAAAGCAAATATAGTCACAATTCAGTGACTGGAACAATTCACCAAAACTCACACTTAGGAGAGAAACCTTATGACAATGTTTTGTCCATATTGGTCCATTGTCAAGTCACAAGTGGGGTAAGAAAAGTAGAGAAGGCCCCCTGCCATATTGTCTTCTGACATTCTCTACTGTTCTTGCCCAAGATGTGACATGACAAGTGGTCCAGGATGGTCCAAAACAGAATTTTAGTGAAAAAATAATTCTTATATAGAACCAAGCAATGATGGCCTAACTTAAGAGTAGTACAGCCTCCATGGGCCTGGAATTAAGCAAGGGACAACCGTACTCTAAATCATTACAGCGTATTAATTCACATAATATGATTCTTTATACTACTTTCACTGATAATTATACAACGTAGTGCACAGTACTTTTGCTGCCTCAGAACACTCTCAATATTTAACTTACTTCAGTATCATTTCTTGCATTGGTTCTGGCAAGCTCAAAATGTTCAATCCAGAAGCATCTGTAAATGCTCCACCAAACCCAATGATCCGTTGGTAACGCATCTTGCTGTTTACTTCTATTTCCACATCAGCTGTTAAAAAAAGGTATATGTAATTATAAAACTAAATACAATACACATTAGTATTAGCCTTTATTTTTAAATAAAACTACAGCGGTACCTCGGTATACGTATGCTTTGGAATAAGTCCAACTTGGTATACATCCTGTTTGGACGCAAAAATTTTTGCTTGGTATACGACCTTTGTTTGGAATACGATTCGCTAGAACTTGTATCAAAATCAAATCAAAATCAAAATCTTTATTTCCTTGTAAAGCTTACAATGTGTGGCTTACACGTTATAAAATATTAATTACAAAGAAGGCCACTAGCATGCCTATGCATTTCGGGCAGACTAATACTGATTCTTAGGAATTATTAGGAATTTTATGTTTACAGTCATTTGGGTGCCCGCTAGCATCAGTATGACTGTTGCTACCATTCAGTGAACAACTCGCGCTGTAACTCTCTGTGAATTTTCACATAATTTTGTGGGTTTTTTTTTTTATAAATTTTTAGTAAATTCATTAACCATAAGCTCTAAGAAAGTTAATGAGAAGAGCCAAGCAATGAAGAAAACGGTTAGGATCTCCATGGAGGTGGCTACTGCATACTGTATGCCGAGAACAACAGTACAGTATCTACAATTGTGAAAGACAAAGATGTTATTAAATAGGCTAACGTTGCATAGGGGTGAAATTGTTTACCAAACAAAGATGAGGGACATTAGAGCATGTTGAAAAATTGCTTTTGATCTGGATAACAGAAAAAAAGTGTGCTGGCAATAGCATATCAGAGGCAATGATTTGCAAAAAGGCAAAACTGATGCATGCCAATCTTTTGAAAAACAAGGCAGGAACGAGCCAAGAAAGTGAAGTGTTTAAAGCCAGCCATGGCTGGTTTGACAATTTTAAGAAGAGGACCAGCATTCACAGTGTTGTGAGGCATGGAGAGGGAGCCAGTGCTGATAAAGATGCCACCAATGATTTTGTTACAGAGTTTGGAGAATTTGTGGAGGCTGAGGGTTTTGTTTCCCAACAAGTTTTAAATTGTGACAAAACAGGCCTGTTTTGGAAGAAAATGCCTAACAGGACCTATATTACACAAGAGGAGAAAACATTACCAGGAAACAATGCCAATGAAGGATAAGTTAACTCTCTTGTTCTGTGCCAATGCAAGTGGGGATTGCAAACTGGAGCCTCTACTGATCTACCACTCTAAAAACCTGAGGACTTTTAAAAATGTAATGTGCAGAAAGCTCAGTTACCTGTCATGTGAAGGTCAAAGAGCAAGGCTTGGATAACCAGAGAATATTTCAGCGAATGGTTTAGTGTTGTGTTTGGGCCAAGTGTAAAAAGTTATTTAGAGGAGAAAAACCTGCCTCTGAAGGCTCTCCTCATAATGGACAATGCTCCAGCTCACCCTCCAAGCTTGCAGGACTATGTGCTGCCAGAGCTTTACTTCATCATTGTAAAGTTTCTCCCACTAACACAACTCCTCTCATTCAGCCTATGGATCAGCAGGTCATCAATAATTTCAAGAAACTTTACACTAAAGCACTATTCCAGAGGTGCTCTTAAGTGACCTCTGACACCCAGTTAACCCATTGATAAAGCCTGGCAGGAAGTTTCATACAGAACAATGAACTCTGCTTGGAGGAGTCTGTGACCAGAAGCAGTGGCTGAAAGGGACTTAGAGGGCTTTGAGGCTGTGTCTATAGTGGAGGATATTGTCTCTCTGGGCAGGTCCATGGGTCTGGATGTGAGCAATGGTGATGTGGAGGAGTAAGTGGAGGGACACAGGGAAGAGCTGACTACTGAGGAGCTGCAGGAACTTGAAGAAGAGGAGCACTAGACTAAGATGAATGCACTCTCTTCAGGCTCAGAAGAGGAGACAGAGGAAGCCCCTACTTCATTAATCAAGGAAATCTTTGCCAAATGGATAGACGCCAAAAACTTTGCAGAGAAGTACCACCCCAACAAAGCCCAAACAAGCCATAATAGTATTGTCTGGAATGACCAGACAATGTCACATGTCTGTATCATCCTCCTCCTCTCTTCTCAGCACTATCCTAGTAGGCACTCGACTCTTTTCAGCAAAGTAAGTGAAGTTAAATCTGCATTTATTTCATCTAATTCTTTCGTATTTTTTTATTTTTTTATCACACTGGCCGATTCCCACCAAGGCAGGGTGGCCCGAAAAAGAAAAACTTTCACCATCATTCACTCCATCACTGTCTTGCCAGAAGGGTGCTTTACACTACAGTTTTTAAACTGCAACATTAACACCCCTCCTTCAGAGTGCAGGCACTGTACTTCCCATCTCCAGGACTCAAGTCCGGCCTGCCGGTTTCCCTGAACCCCTTCATAAATGTTACTTTGCTCACACTCCAACAGCACGTCAAGTATTAAAAACCATTTGTCTCCATTCCATCCTATCAAACACGCTCACGCATGCCTGCTGGAAGTCCAAGCCCCTCGCACACAAAACCTCCTTTAACCCTCCCTCCAACCTCTCCTAGGTCGACCCCTACCCCGCCTTCCTTCCACTACAGACTGATACCTCTTGAAGTTATTCTGTTTCGCTCCATCTCTCCAATGTCCGAACCACCTCAACAACCCTTCCTCAGCCCTCTGGACAACAGTTTTGGTAATCCGCACCTCCTCCTAACTTCCAAACTACGATTCTCGGGCATTATATTCACACCAACATTGCACTAGACATGACATCTCCACTGCTCCAGCGTCTCCTCGCTGCAACATTCATCACCCATGTCACACACCATATAAGAGCATTGGTAAAACAATACTCTCATACATTCCCCTCTTTGCCTCCAAGGACAAAGTTCTTTGTCTCCACAGACTCCTAAGTGCACCACTCAACCTTTTCCCCTCATCAATTCTATGATTCACTCTCTTTCATAGACCCATCCGCTGACAAGTCCACTCCCAAATATCTGAATACATACCTCCTCCATACTCTCTCCCTCCAATCTGATATCCAATCTTTCATCACCTAATCTTTTTGTTATCCTCATAACCTTACTCTTTCCTGTATTCACTTTCAATTTTTTTATTTTGCACACCCAAACCAAATTCACCACCAATCTCTGCAAACATCATCTTCAGAATATCCCAGAGCACAGTGTCATCAGCAAAGCAACCTCGTGACAACACCCACTTTATGTGTGATTCTTTATCTTTTATGTATGTATTTTAGTATGTATTTATGTATGTATTTTAGTATTAAGCAATGTTTAAATTACATATTTTAGTGTTAAGCAGTGTTCAAATTATTTTATACAACCCCCATCAATGTATAATATGCCAATAACAATAGGATTTTTTTTTCATGGGAACAGATTAATCATTTTCCCTATATTTCTTATGGGAAAATTCGTTTGGTATACATCCTGCTTGGTATAAGTCCAAGGTCCTGGAACTGATTAAGGATGTATACTGAGGTACCACTGTACTGGAAAAAATAACTATACAATATCACTGAATGATTGACTGTTCATTAAATGAGACTGCAAAATACTGAAATAATAGCAAAGGAAGATTTTTCCACATGCAAGATCATAAAATGAGATGAGAAAATAAGATACATACATATAATACACATATAACCCGCACGTAGGAGAAAGAAGTTTATGACACATTTCTGTCCGAAATGGACCATTGACTAGTCACACTAACACAAGAAGGTGAGAAAGCCAGTATATACAGAAAAGGAGGACAGGGGCAGGACAAAGAGAGGAATAAAGAAGTACTGTAAGTGGAAAAGTAGATGACATGAGAATTTTTTAGCCGTCATGAGGAAGAACAAGACACCACAACTGTAAACAGAGATTAAAAAAAAATGGTACTGAAAGAATATTATAGTTTTTCTTTGTCACCAATAGAGTGGTGGATCACTGTAACAGAAGCCAAGATTAGGTAGTAAGTGCTACAGCCCCTGGACAATTATAAAAATTATAAACTAAACACATTATCTAAGACAGGACACCGTAAGCATACCTCTGTTCCTATGGCATTATATTATAGATAAACAACATATACAATGTTTAAATTAAGTCAATATGTGTATTGAGGTACAGGTACACATAAGTACATACAATTATCATACCTAGTAACATACGTGTATATAAATTACCTAAGATAACACAAAAAAAAATTCAACAAGACTTATTTCAATTTCTATATTTTGATAACACTGATGCACATTATCAATAAATAATGAAGACAGTATAACTTAAACTCTAAGAATATAACTTCACTTACACGGCAAGATCTCATTCCCATGCTGAGAAAATCGACCAGTGGAAACTTTCCACCTCAGCCCTGCCTTACTGGATGTAACAATGAGAGCTTTTCCACTTTGTGGAAGATGGATAGGTGGAAGAATATCACAGTGGGAAGAGTTGCACACACATACTGTGCTGCCATGGCCATAGTCTCGACTTTTACAAATATCTGAAAGGTAATTTATATACAGTAGGCAGAACCTCCAGTTATTCCTTTTTCTAACAATGTTAGGTGAATATTCAAACAAACTGTAAATTTTCCCTATTCAAACTGATAGACCCTTGAGGACATGTTGCAAGTAATGTGACCACAGGATGGGTATAGGGTGCATAATAATGCTATCAAACTAAACATACATTTGCTGAATTTTCATAAATCATGGACAAATAAACAACTACAATACTGTACAATCATATTTCAATCTGTTCTCACAAAGCAATAGCTAAATAGATTATGTTCGAGGTACAGTCGTCTGTATTCTTACCCACTGCTTGTACACCTTTCCACAACTAGTAATCATTAACTGAAATAAATATTTTAAATGATTATTATAGGATGCAGCATTCCTGGTATATACATAAAACTCTGATGTACTCTACATATACATTGCTATCAGTAGTTAGAGTCAAAAAACATTTTTAAACATGACTGTTTTATGATATAAAACTTTGATTTTCATCTTACTATAAATCTTATGATATTTAGTATGTACAGTATTTTTTACAGTGTATAAGTTTATTCAGGTACAGATACACATAAATAAAGTTACATAAGTTATCATACACAGCAGCATATGTGTAGATTACTTAGGATAACCCAAAAAAAAGTCAGACAAAGGGACTTGTCTCCATTGGGGTTTAGTACAGTACATATATCAAATTAAATTAAAATTACATAAATTAATAAAAATAATTACAAACGAGCATGGACACTATGCATAATGTGCAAAGTAATATTTTGTCAAGCATATATCATACTGTTTTTCCATTTTTTAAACCATTACAGTGTGTATATTCTTGCAGTGATCATATAAAATAAACCACAGTACAGAATATTCCAGTAATGTAAATGAAATCTATACATAAACCATTTGCATCAATGATTTCAACTTAAATATTTCTTTTTCAATTGAAAACTCCTACTTTTATTCTGGTTCCATGGCTTGGTTGACAATGCACTTGCCTCACACACTGAATGTCCATGGTTCAATCCCCAGCTGGATGGAAATGTTAGGCATGTTTCCTCACACCTGTTCACCTAGAAGTAGGTACCTGGGTGTTAGTTGATTGGTGTGGGTGGCATTCTGGGGGACAAGCTTGAAGAACCACAATGGAAATAAGACAAACAGTTCTTGATGATGCACTGACTTTCTTGGATTATCCTGGGTGGCTAACCCTCCAGAGTTAAAAATCCCAACACACCTTATCTTATCCTACCTTATCTTCATGGAACCTCCCTTGAGGATAATAAACTTAGCATTTGGGAGGCAGTAAGGTTCAGCCCAGGAATGGAAAGATCAGTTCCAATTTCTTGGATCAAGAGCCCCTTACTGGCATCAAAGAATCTCCTTTAAGGATATAAGTTCAGAAATTTTATCCTGGATGGCTAAAAAAAAAAAAGGAGCAGTTTATTATAAAAAAATATTCCCAATTCAAATTTTTATTTTCTGTGGTACAAAAATAATGTAGTTTATATGAAATATAACACTGACTGATAGGACCAAAATTATTATAATCATAACTAGGCGCTAAACCCACAAGGTTCATACAGCGCTGCGGTACGCCCCAAAGAAAGCAACTGGTATGCAATGCATTTCAAGGGGATTATTATTATTATGATTATCATTATTAATTATAATCATTGTTGCTAATTATTGGTGCTGTATAACCCTTGAAGGTTTAGCACTTTTTTTATTATAATATTATTATAATCAAAGGGGAAGCACTAAACCCGTAGGATTATATAGTGCCTGAGGGGGGATATGGAAGGTATTCAGGGAACTGGAGAACAGATCCAATTCCCTAGATCAAGAGACCCTCACCAGCATCAAGGAACCTTCCTTGAGGAGATATAATCAAAACTAAGCACTAAACCCACAAGGGTCACATTGCACAGTATATTATCATAGGGGAGCGTTAAATCTGCAAGGATTATATAGCGCCTCGAGGGGAAGAGGTGGGTTGGGAATGGAAGGTATTCAGGCTCAATTCAAGGAGCTGTATAGCCCTTGTGGCTTAGCGCTTCTTTTTTATAATAATAATAATAATGATAATAATAATAAATTCAAGGAACTGGAGCACAGATCCAATTCCCCAGATCAAGAACTCGCCTTACCAGCATCGAGAACCTCCCACGAGGGGCATTTCAAAGGGGGGGGGGACTGACCTTCATGTGCCCAGGTCCTGGCAACACAGAGACAGAACAGTGTCACTGTTATGCCAGGAAAACATCCTTGGTGCTGCCTCAACATAGAAAATCTCAGTTAACAATTAAATTGGGAAAATATTTGTTGATCTCAATTGGAAATCTTGGTTGTTAGGGCCACCATAGATTGTGACTTATTGTTGTTGGTTGTTAGGGGCCACCATAGATTGCGACTTATTGTTGTTGGTTGTTAGGGGCCACCATAGATTGCGACTTATTGTTGTTGGTTGTTACGGGCTACCAGAGACTGACTTTTTGCCTCACTCCAGCTACGGTCGAGGGATTATTATGATGATTATTATTATTATTATTATTGTGTTTATTATTATTGTTATTATTTATGCTTTCATGGAGGAGTGCTAAATAAGTTTACTCAGGTTTACACAAATAAAGTTACACAGATTTTCATGCATAGCAGCATATGTGTAGAGAACCTAGGATAACCCAAAAAAGTCAGATGCTGTGGAAATAGGTTACTTTGACTTTTTTCTGGGTTATGATAGGTAATTTACATTGTATAAAAATTGTACTTACGTGTACCTGTGTCTAAATAAACTTACTGACTAACCTATAGGGATCATACAGTGCCTCGGGGAATGGAAGGTATTCAGACTTGATTCTAGAAATTGGAGCATTGATCCTATTCCTTAGATGGAAGCACAAGGATTCAATGGAAATAAGTCCCTTTGACTTTTTTGGGGAGGTTATCCTAGGTAATTTATACATGTGTTATTATGTATGATAATTGTATTTATGTGTACCCGTACCTAAATAAACTTCCCTTGAGGGGCACGATTTGTATAGAGATGCCGCTGGCATCAAATACAAACTATATGTTAATAGTGTGCAAACTGACAAGATGCTAAATTAAACACATGTGCAACATTGTTGCACATGTTGCTAATTCATCAACTGGACAGTGTGTGGACAGACACGGCGATGAGAGAAACGGGAACAGGAACTCCACTTGCAAAAGAGAAACAGGAACAAAAAACTAAGACTATGTTAAATTAAGACTATATGGCCATGTTGGTAATACCTGGAGTATACTTGTAGGGTATTCTGAAGGTCAACTCCCCAGCGGCCCACTTCATGAGCAGGCCACACGGTGGATCACCCCTCAAGGAAAGTTCCTTGATGCTGGTGAGGGGCTCTTGATCTAGGGAATTGGATCTGTGGTCCAGTTCCCTGAACTGAGCCCTAATGCCTTCCATCCCCCCCACAGGCGTTGTATAATCCTACGGGTTTAGCTCTTCCCATTATTATAATAATCACAGTGGATCAGGACCTGATTAACCAAGCTCTTATTGCTGGCCGCACGCAGACAGACGTACGAGCCACAGCCCAGCTGATTAGTTACTGACTTTAGGTATCTGTCCAGCTTCCTCTTGAAAACAGCCAGGGATCTATTGGTAATACACCTTATGTATGCTGGGAGGCAACTGAACAATCTTGGGTCCCACTGACACTTATTGTGTTGTCTATTAGCGTACTCATGACACTCCATCTCCTGCCAAGTCTTTTGCTTTCGTGGGGAGTGATTTCCTTGTGCCGATCTGGGACTAGTCCCTCTAGAATTTTCAAAGTGTATATTATAATGTATCTTTCTCGCCTGTGTTCCAAGGAGTACAGGTCAAGGGCCTTCAACCGTTCCCAGTAATTTAGGTGCCTGATGCTACTTTTATGTGCAGTGAAAGTTCTCTTTATGTTCTCCAGGTCTGCAATTTCGCCTGCCTTGAAAGAAGCCGTTAGTGTACAGCAATATTCCAGCCTAGAGAGAACAAGCTATTTGAAGATAATCATCGTTGGCTTGGCATTCCTAGTTTTCAAGAGGATAGATATACTACGAAACCTTCTGGAGCTGTGGGAAGAAGTTGTCGGATCACAGATAGTGTTCATTGACGGAGACATGTCACAGAATTGCTCTCTCTGAAAGCATTATAGCTCAGTGGTACAGTGCTGGACATGCTACATGTCAGAACCATGATTCGATTCCCTATCTGCTTATCCATCAACAGACGTTTATTACAACTTATCTTGATTATTATTATAATAAAAAAGAAGCACTAAGCCACAAGGGCTATGCAACAACTTATCTTGAGCTCACACACACGGACACTAACACTACACACTGTCTCGCTAAGGTAGAGTTACCCAAACTAAGGAAAGATATTCATCATTCAATCAACAGCTCCAAACTGAAATGTCTCCACCCTCCTCCTGAGTGCATATGCTGTGCTTCCCGCCTCCGGAACTCAAGTCCGGCTAACTGGTTTTCCTGACTCCATAAATTTTGCCTTGCTCACACTCCAACATCACATCAGACCATAAACACTTGTCTCCACTCACCCTGATCTAACAAGCCTGCTGGATGTTCAAGCCTCTAACCCCCCAAACCCTCCTTTACCATATCCCTCCCACTGGGCATAACTGCATCGAGAAAAAATATATATTACAGTCATTTCATATTTTTCAGTTTACAATGCCATATGGAGTTACAATCTCAAAAATATTTGAGTATATTATGATAACTAAATTATCTGTCTATATTGGGTTGCAATCTATTAAAAAATCACACAGGCCTGGTCATGCACAGGACCGCGGGAGCGTTGATCCCCGGAATACCCTCCAGGTAGATTCATCCAGTCTATGCAAAATTTGGATGTCGTCTCAAGATGTCAGATATTATTAACAATGAATTGTTTTGCTATATCCACCAAGATTTGCATGGAGGTGTTCAGATCTCTGAAGGGTTGGATGTTTGGACACTGTAACACAGTGTTCCAGTGTATTACCTGGAGTTTACCTGGAGAGAGTTCCGGGGGTCAACGCCCCCGCGGCCCGGTCTGTGACCAGGCCTCATGGTGGATCAGAGCCTGATCAATCAGGTTGTTACTGCTGGCTGCACGCAATCCAACGTACGAGCCACAGCCCGGCTGGTCAGGTACCGACTTTAAGTGCTTGTCCAGTGCCAGCTTGAAGACTGCCAGGGGTCTGTTGGTAATCCCCCTTATGTATGCTGGGAGGCAGTTGAACAGTCTCGGGCCCCTGACACTTATTGTATGGTCTCTTAACGTGCTAGTGACACCCCTGCTTTTCATTGGGGGGATGTTGCATCGTCTGCCAAGTCTTTTGCTTTCGTAGTGAGTGATTTTCGTGTGCAAGTTCGGTACTAGTCCCTCTAGGATTTTCCAGGTGTATATAATCATGTATCTCTCCTGCCTGCGTTCCAGGGAATACAGGTTTAGGAACCTCAAGCGCTCCCAGTAATTGAGGTGTTTTATCTCCGTTATGCGCGCCTGGAAAATCCTAGAGGGACTAGTACCGAACTTGCACACGAAAATCACTCACTACGAAAGCAAAAGACTTGGCAGACGATGCAACATCCCCCCAATGAAAAGCAGGGGTGTCACTAGCACGTTAAGAGACCATACAATAAGTGTCAGGGGCCCGAGACTGTTCAACTGCCTCCCAGCATACATAAGGGGGATTACCAACAGACCCCTGGCAGTCTTCAAGCTGGCACTGGACAAGCACCTAAAGTCGGTTCCTGACCAGCCGGGCTGTGGCTCGTACGTTGGTTTGCGTGCAGCCAGCAGCAACAGCCTGGTTGATCAGGCTCTGATCCACCAGGAGGCCTGGTCACAGACCGGGCCGCGGGGGCGTTGACCCCCGGAACTCTCTCCAGGTAAACTCCAGGTATCTCTCTCGCCTGCGTTCCAGGGAGTACAGGTTCAGGAACTTCAATCGTTCCCAGTAATTGAGGTGCTTTATCTCCGTTATGCGCGCCGTGAAGGTTCTCTGTACATTTTCTAGGTCAGCAATTTCACCTGCCTTGAAAGGTGCTGTTAGTGTGCAGCAATATTCCAGCCTAGATAGAACAAGCGACCTGAAGAGTGTCATCATGGGCTTGGCATCCCTAGTTTTGAAGGTTCTCATTATCCATCCTGTCATTTTTCTAGCAGATGCGATTGATACAATGTTATGGTCCTTGAAGGTGAGATCCTCCGACATGATCACTCCCAGGTCTTTGACGTTGATTTTTCTGTCTATTTTGTGGCCGGAATTTTTGTACTCTGATGAAGCTGCCCCAGTCTCTGCCCACACACTTTGTAGTTGATGTCATCGACATCTCTATATAGAGATACTTATAACCAAGCCTTTTTCTAGCAATATCTTGAAATTTATTGATCTTGTTATTTTCTCCATAAATACAGCGCTGAGCTGACACATTGCAATATAATGAACAATGGAGCTGCTAGTCCCAGTGTGTACTGTACTGTTTTCCTTTATTCAAACTGTTTTTTTTATAACAGTATCTTTTAAACTTCTATTTGAGAAAGTAAAAATATATTCGACATTTTCTTTAATGCTAGCTGAGTTAAGCTATCAGCTTTGTGATGCTCCTGGAGGTCTATGTGAGACGGAATCCACAACAGTCTAACTATAATCCCTTCTTAATAATTTATGTACTGTATTGTACAGTATATCTGTGCCTGGCTTCAAGCGCAAGCATGCTACATTCAGGTCACAGGCTATTTAGTGCAAGCTATAAGGAAAGATTCAGTAACAGTTACACTGTCCGAGGTCAACACTGTGTCCCCTCGTCGAGTTCATAGGTTGGAAGGCACAGCAATACACTGTGAATTTTGGCAATTGATGCCTTCATCGCAGCTTACATTATTGCGATGCAACAAAGAGGCTCTGGCATCGTGCCACGTAGCTTAGCAACAAGAGTGGGAAAATAAATTAACACACAGTTTGTCCCTGGTCAAGTGGAGGGGAGAGACGTTTTCTGAGATCCCGGCTCTTGTCTTAAATTGATGCATTTATGGCGAAGCTTTCAAGTAACGTGGCCCAAACTGTGGTAAGGGAGTGGTAGGCAGTCAGGTTTAATCCAAGGAATAAGAGGGTAGATCCTCTTCTGTCAAGAGCCTTGAAGGGGATATGCTACAGAAAATCTTGTGAGGGGAATCTTAGCATCTTAGGGAATGGAGACTCTTTGGCTTCAGTTGTGCGGGATTTTGAAGGAAAAATTTCATTCCGATTGAGTGTTTCATAATTTCTAAATCTTAGTGTCTAACGTAGACTTAATAAGGGGGTGAGGGGAAAGGTTAATAAATGATGTAGAGTAAGGGGAAAACGTTGCCATAGCAGCGGTGTGTGGTAACGTTGCCGGGCGGGTGAGTGTCACCCAGGATGACGTCAAGCTCAGTGTTGCTTCAGCCTGGGAAGAGGAGGGATGTCGGCCGTTGTTGTCTTCGCTGTTTTCCTCCTCATCTGCACCATCCTCAAGTTTCTCAATGTCACCAGCCCCCCCAGGCCTCCAAAGCTTGTGTGCAGCGACTCCAAATTCCTGGAGCTCATACTGAAGTACTGCCCACAGCTGAATGAAACGTAAGTAGTTTTAAAGTCTGGAAAATGTTTCTGAAATGTCCTTCTTCCCCCTGATGTGGGCGCGGCTCCTGTTGATTATTCTACCGTTGTTGTTCATCTGTTGCTCCACCGTTGTTGACACATCATACAACGGTGCCATGAGCACTTATGTTGGCTACAGCATGTCAGTGGAACTTGCATTTCCTCTGCTTCTCTCACCAGGTAAGTATAAATTACAATATATATGACCATTTTTTAAATAAACTCATGAGGCCTAAAAAAAATTTATTCAACTTTATTTACATTGTTTTGAGTTATTAATAGAAGACAGTTTCTATTATTATCCTGAAGAGCTGGTAAGACTTAATATTTTATGTAATGAAATATATGTTGTGATTAAATATTAATGCGTCTAAAAATGAGTGATTGCTTGTAGAATCATTGCAGTTATGTTTACTTAGTGTATCATTAAATGTAGCTCAATCAATAACACTCGTTAGCCTCTCAATAATGCTCGTTAGCCAATCTCAGTAAATAATACTCGTTAGCCTATTTCAGTCAATAATACTCGTTAGCCTGTTTCAATAATACTCGTTAGCCTATCAGTCAATAATACTCTGGTAAACTCCAGCCTATTTCAGTAATACTCGTTAGCCTATCTCAGTCACTTATACTCGTTAGCCTATTTCAGTAATACTCGTTAGCCTATTTCAATAATACTCGTTAGCCTATCAGTTAATAATACTCGTTAGCCTAACTTAGTCAATAATACTCATTAGCCTATCAATAATGCTCGTTAGCCTATTTCAGTAATACTCGTTAGCCTATTTCAGTAATACTCGTTAGCCTATTTCAGTAATACTCGTTAGCCTATTTCAGTAATACTTGTTAGCCTATTTCAGTAATACTCGTTAGCCTATTTCAGTAATACTCGTTAGCCTATCTCAGTCACTAATACTCGTTAGCCTATTTCAATAATATTCGTTAGCCTATCTCAGTTAATAATACTCGTTAGCCTATCAAAATGCTCGTTAGCCTATTTCAATAATACTCGTTAGCCTATTTCAGTAATACTCAGCATATTTGAGTACTCGTTAGCCTATTTCAGTAATACTCGTTAGCCTATTTCAATAATACTATTCAATTCAATTCAATTCAATTCAAAGTTTATTCTCTATAAGGATTACAATGCTGAGTTTACAGAAATTTGGTTATTGTTTGGTTTACATGTAGTAAAATTGTGATTACAGAGTGTACCACTAGAACGCTTAGCATGGCTAGGCATTTCGGGCATACTTAGTTTTATTCTTAATTGTAAAATATTAAAATATTAGTCTATCAATAATGCTCGTTAGCCTATTTCAATAATACTCGTTAGCCTACTTCAATAATACTCGTTAGCCTATTTCAGTAATACTCGTTAGCCTATCAGTAATACTCGTTAGCCTATCAGTAATACTCGTTAGCCTATCTAATACTCGTTAGCCTATCAGTAATACTCGTTAGCCTATCAGTAATACTCGTTAGCCTATCAGTAATACTCGTTAGCCTATCTCAATAATGCTCGTTAGCCTATCTCAATAATACTCGTTAGCCTGTCAGTAATACTCATTAGCCTATCTCAATAATACACTTTAGCCTCACGGTTGCAATAATACTCTAGACTCGTGACCACAATACTACTCGATACGATCACAATAATACCCGATAGCATATCTTGATCAATAATACTCAGCACCTTTTTTTTTTTTTTTTTTTTTTTGGGTCGCTCCCAATACAGCCCTATTGTTTATTAAGTGCCGTAAATGAACTGTAATTAGTCATAGGTTATAAACCCCCTTCAAGGGAGGTGCTTCGTTGCTGGTGACGGGCTTGTGATTCAGGGAAACTGGATCCTTTGGATCATAAATTTCCATGAGTGCTAAAATTATTTTTTTTGTGAAATAAAAATAATCATAGATTCCCGTGAATAAACTATATACCAGTAATAATATATAGCTATGAGTAATACACTATTATTCATATATTCTCATGCATAAATCACAATTATTCATACATTCTCTTTCATAAATACAATTATTCATGCATTCTTTCGTGTAAACTACAATTATTCATACATTATCTTGTATAAACTACAATTATTCATACATTCTCTTATATAAACTACAGTTATTCATACATTATCTTGTATAAACAAGTTATTCACACATGTATAAACTACAGTTATTCATACATTCTCTTGTATAAACTACAGCTATTCATGTATTCTCGCATAAACTACAATTATTCATACATTCTCTTGTATAAACTACAATTATTCATGGATAACCGTGAAAGTACCACAATTCATAAATTCTCGTGAAAGTACCACACTTCATAAACATAAATTCTCATGAAAGTACCACAAATCATAACTTCTCATGAAAGTACCACAATTTATAAATTCTCGTGAAAGTACCACACTTCATAAATTCTCGTGAATACCACAATTTATAAATTCTCTTGAAAGTACGACAATTCATAAATTCTCGTAAATATGTTACATCTATTCACAGATTGCAGTAAATTACATTGATATATGTCGTGAATAAACGAGAATTAGTGATGAAAAATTGTTGACCAAAACTTCAGTTATTCATTGATTCAACGAAGGAAGCCTATTTACGGGCTACCCTGAAGGAAACCAGAACAGGGTGGTGTTATTTCCTGTAGTATGAAGTGCTTGCTGACGGTATGGATGACTCAATCTACCTCGGCACAGCATGACGGAGTTGTGTGTGTATGTATGTTTTGGTGTGCTCACCTATTTGTACTCATGGTTTCAAGGGCTGATTCGCAGCTCTTTGCCCTGCCTCTTCGCTAGTCGCTACTAAATATGTATGTGTGTAATATATGTAGTCGTATCACCTAGGCACTATTGTCAAGGATACATTAATGGAAACTCATTGTGCACAATCTGTAACACACACTTCTCTTTGTATATCCTGTTTATCGACAACAAAGAGGTCATTAATGTCACAATCCACATAGACAATAACAACAAGTATTCTTTAATTCCTCTGGTATAGATTAACGTACCGAAAATTTTAAGAGTGATTGTAAATAATTCTCAAGAGGTGAACAGATTAGAACGCGTGACCTGACGGTCTGAATTAAACGCACGTCTTTGATATTTTTCCTGTAGCAGTGTCATCAAGACACGTAGACAGCAGTTTTTTATTTATTAAAACTGTTTAATTGAGGGCTTTATCAAGGCTTGTTCTGTGTACTGCTCTTTGATTTATCATCTTGTCTTTGATTTGCTACGTATTTACTTTCTCTCAGGCATGTCAGTGCCATCTACATACTGTCCTAACTGCAGTTAACTCCTGTATGGTATACCAATTTAAATATATATCTATATATATATATATATATATATATATATATATATATATATATATATATATTATATATATATATATATATATATATATATATATATATATATATATATATATATATATATATATATATATATATATATATATATATATATATAATATATATATATATATATATATATATATATATATATATATATATATATATATATATATATATATATATATAATATATATATATATATATATATATTCCTGTGTATGGTAAGGCAAAGTCTTAACCTGGCAGTTAAGTCCGTAACATCGGCTATTTACAATCTTGGTGACTTCATTCACAAGAGTTGATATTTTTATCATTTCCTAACATATATGGTCGACGCGAGATACCTATGATTAATGATGCAGCTGTCGGGAAATGTAATTAAGATCAGTAATGGGTTGAAAAGAAGCTATTTATGTGGTATGAGGTACCTTGGAATTCGTTGATGCCATGTTCTCTGTCAGGAACTAATTTCAAATAAAGAACTGCATCGAGAACTCGTTTCAGAATCCAACCCAAATGGTATTAAGTTTTACAATCACGTAACCATAGATAACTGATTTATACATGTTAGTCATATTGGACGTCCAAACCTGTGTACTTGTATTAATCTGCATGTGCAATACACTTCGACGATCTCTGTGCTCTGGAAAGCTGTTCAAACACCATGTTTAACACTCGAGTGAAGTTAGTCATTTCTAGGGTGAACATAGTGAAATGTATCGATGGAAATCTCAGGTAGGAAGATTGTACAATGTATATCTGTTGTCAGCTGTTCTTTTCTATAAGTTTGTCAAGCGTGACAGCTCATCGCTTCAAGGCTGGCCTGAGTGAGGTTTGCTCACATGCATCAGTAATATTATTTGCTCCGAAATTTGCTGTCCTCCACGTTCAGGATAAAAATTGTACAGATGTGCCTCGAAAGTGAGAAGGAAGAGAGAGATAAGAAAGAGAACTTTTCGTTATAACTATGATCATTGACTTTCGAACCCTGCCAAGAAGCACTGTGCCAGTCCATTGCTAGTTGATATTGGTAATGCACTAATTAAGAGTAAGAACCATTTACTGACAGTTACTTCGGAAGAAGCCAAGGAGTTGTACGAAACTGAACAAGTCATGTGTTTGGTCAGCATTGCTGTCTCTGTTCTCAGAATATTACAAGGACTACACACCAACAGCTGTTGATTTGACTCTTACCTATGCCTTTGACAGCTTTATACAGGCCTCAAAAGAGACAACGCCATCACCTTGACCTGCTTGCTGCAATGAAATGTTCACTACTCAGGAGGCTGTATTCTTTCGGCTCCCAGTTGTCCACTTCGCAGCAGAAATCCATCTTTCTTGTCCTTCTAAATCCTTAAGGAACCTGTGGAATGCTATATTTGGTTAATCCCTTTGTTGCTACACCAAACAGCACACAAGAAGCAGCAACTCTCGTAGAGGTTTATAAGGATGAAAAACTCTCAAAACAGATATAGGTATTTGTCATTGCGACTTGGCCTCCAGTATGGTTCTAAATCCTAAGCCAATTTGTTATATACTGTTTTCAGCAATTTTTTCGGTTTGTTATTTAAGTTAGGTTAGATTATGATCTGTTA